TGGACGTGCAAAGAATCACCTTGCATCTTCCATTTTTAAAAGAGATTGTCCTTGCTATACAATCACTTGCTTATTTTCCATCTCTAGTCATGGCATACTAAGGGTAACAACATACCTTAGCTTTGTTACCTTGAATCTTTCTCTTAAAATGTAGGTGTCTATCAATCTCAAGGTTTTTTCTTCACATCTCTCACTCAATATGTTCTTTCGCTCATTTACAAGATATATACTTCTTTTTTTGATTTCATTAGTTGTAATTCCAAGCCAGTTGGTAATTTTACTTGAGATGTAATTTTTTGTAGAACCACAATCTACAAGCACTCGACATGGTTGTCCTCTTGATAGTTCTGTTAAAAGTACTAGTCGACTCTTTTTATAGTTATCTGAGGCTATGTCATTTGTCTCTAAAAGACAATAGCTATCCTCAATACTTGTCTCTAGCATCTTTATTAAGGAGCCTCATTTTCTTACTTTCATTCATTATTAACTTGATGAATTTTGAGACTATGAACTCACCTTATGTTGCTAATACTTGCAATTTGACATTTTAGACAACCTCCAATTTGATGGCCTTGCTCTCAACAACAGAAATATAATCCTTTTTATACCAATATTTGTCATTTTTGTGATGTTAATAATCCTTGTAAGGCATCAATCTCCATTGGCATTGGTTGTTGTGCCATAATATTAGATAGTGGCATAAGACTTTGTACTATAGGTTGTGCTCCACAATTTTTGAAATTTATAGCATCGATCTTCTCTGTAATCTGAATTGCTTCTTCAAATGTTTGTGGATCTTTTAGTTCCACCTCTCATTGGACTCCATGTTTCAAACCTTGTAAGAATTAATCCATCATCTTCGCCTCCAAAACATTACCAATTTTGAGATATAAAGACTTGAATTGGAAGACAGAATCTTGCACTGATCTAGCTTCAATAAGATTTGTCAAGTGATCACGTGCTATCTTCTCCACATTGATGGGCCAAAATTAATTCCTAAATTTGGTCTCAAATTCCTCCCAATCACAAAATCCACCTTGAGCTTCATAACTTTGAACTTGATATCGCTGCTAAAAGGTTGTCACATCTCTCAAATAGTTGGTTGCTTAAGTAATTCCTTCAATGGTATTGGCCTCAGATAGTTGGAGGTATTTTTGCATATTGAAAAACCATTGACATACATCTTCTTGTCTTGAAGTTCCAGAGTATGTAATAGGCTTACTCAATTTAAACTTAATAGATGTCGACTCTCTTGTCGTCAAGGCTTTTATTTGTCTTTGCAAAGTAGCTATCTAGCCTAAGAGATATAGTATTTGAGCCTCCATCTGGGATTGCTCTGCCATATCTCTCATACTATAATTTCTCTATTAGACTCCATTATTGTAATGCCTTTCCATCTCCCAATTTATTTTTTAAGAGTAGCTTGTGATAGCCTCAACACAGTACCTAGTATGACCACAACAACTAACCTTGGACTAAATTATGACTATTGACATGCTACCAAAAGTAGACATTCTAATACTCGCTCTGATACCAATAAAACAAGACTAGACTAACTCAAAAAATCCAAGATCCTTCCAATCTAGAACAACATAAAGCCTCCTTACAAAATAAGACAAAACAAACCAAAACAAAACTAAAAAAAACTAAATAGAATAGGACATGAAAGACAAAATTGAGCAAACAAAAACAAAATAGAATAGATTTGAATAGAAAGATGCAAAACCAAACTTTATTAAGAAAAAGGATCCAAAGCCATATTTGACTAGATGTCCCAAAAGGCCCTAGTTAGTCCTATTTATACCTTGTTCTATCATCCTAAACTTTCTAGAATGTTCTAGGTGGTGGGCTCTATCTAAATAACCACCTTAAATTCTTATTTTAGAAGGTTTTATGGTGGACCTCACCTAAATAACCACCCCAAATCTTTTCTAGAATGTTCTATGGTAGATCCTACCTAGTTCACTAATCTAATCCTAATTCTAGAAACTTCCATAGTTGTAATTATTTATATAATTATCTTATCCATACCATGTTATAGATATATTGTTATATTTACAAGAAGCCAAATTATATGACAAAAGATTGCAAGTTCAAGAAGTTACCTCCAATTAGTAATAACTTTTCAGCAAGTATTATTATAAAAAATAATAATTCATTTAATTTTGAACAAAAAAAAATTAAAAATAAAAGTTAAACTTATCGAAATAATTAAGGAAAGAAAAAATTAATCCAAATGGCATTTCAAGACTAAAGCTTCATAATATGTGACAAGCAACAAGTTAACACTAAATTGCTTCAAACCAAGAAGCCAAATTCATAAGATAAGAATAGTAGGTCGAAAATCACATGTTGCAACTAAATAAGAAGAAATTCATATAAAAAATAATAATAAAAAATTAAAGAAAATAAGTAATATTCTATTTGTATTATTCATAAAAAAGAATTCATAATTAATTGATTTATTTGTAGACAAAAGAAACATAGTTATTTTTTCAATTGACAAATACTAGATCATTGATTAGAAAGAAAAGCAAAATATAATTACCACAAGATCTTAAGATCCAAATAATAGACTATTTTGTATAAATTAATATACATCAAAAGTTAATTCTATTGTTATAAAAAAGATTAAGCTATATCATTAAAGATTTGAACACCTTACTTAAATTAGTTTAAAACAACTTCATACAAATTTATTTTCTATTGAAAATATACTTAAAGAAATTTGTGGAGCATACAATATAAATCAATAATATAGAATTATTATTTTTTAAAATAAAGCATTAACAAATCAAATAAGTTATTCCAATTGATACATACAAAATATGTTGGACCAATTTCAAAATCCTTGTTAAGCAGAACCATGTAATTTACATTTTTTATTCATGATTTTTTTCAAAATAATTGAATTATCTTCTAAAAATGAAGGAAGAAAATTTTTCTAAGTTCTGCATATTCAAAAATCAAATAGAAAATGAAACAAGTGAAAAATTACTTATGTTAAGAATAAATAAAAGATGTGATTTTTTATTTGAAGAATTTGAAGAATTTTGTCATAACATGGAATAGCTAGGCAATTGACACAATTGTTAATTTCTCAATAAAGTAGAATGGCAAAAAATATAATAGAATAATAGTCAAGAAATCAAGCAGCATGATTTATTAAAAATAAATTATTTAGCTTATGGCCTTTAAGCTTATGGCTAGAAGCAATAAGTACAAAAAACTATTTGATAAATATATATTCAGCTAATGCCAATAATGAAAAGACTTTTGTAGAATTTTACTATAAAAGAAAACTAGAAGTGCAACATCTAAGAATATTTGGATGTATAACTATTTACATGTGTTAAAGAAGTAATAATTAAAATTTGATAGTAAAACAAGAAAGTGCATCTTTGTTGAATACCAACAACAAAGCCTATTGTATTTATAAATATATAAGAAAAAGAATAATTATAAGTAGTGATGTTATCTTTGATGAAACTAAGATAAATAATTGCTTACACTTGTAAGTCCCACTAATGCATCTTAATTAGTGGATTAATTTAAAACATAGTTTTAAATAATTTTATTATATAAATAATAAGATTATAGAGTCTTTTTGATTATTTAATTATTTATGAGAATTTAGAAGCATTTATAAATTATAAAAGTCTTATTGAAAGAAAAGTCATAAAAATAGAATCTTAATAAGTCTTTGAAGCAATTATCTTAGTTAGTTTAATATTTTTATTTATTATTAAATATTAAGAATTAGTTATTGAGACCAATGTCTTCATTGGCCTCCTATTTATAATTATTACTTATAAAAATCCTACCAAAGATTAGTTAGTAGTTACAAGAAGCATGAAGAGAACTTCATATCTTTTTAGTTAATTATATAAAAAATAAGATTTTTAATAGATGTAAATTAATTTTATTAATATAAAAAATAAAAAAGATAAAAATGGCTTTAAATAGATATTATCATTATGAAAATATTTGGAATTTATTTAGAATTTTTTAGGAGTTTTTATAGAAGATTTCAAGACCTTGATAAAATTGAGTTTTATCAACTTGGGAACCATTATGAAGAAATGAAGCAAGATTTAGAAGTCATACTAAGTTTCTAGGTTAATAACGTGTTTTTAAATACTATCGTGAAGTCAAAAATGTAAAAAAGTAAATAAATAAAGTTTTACTAGTAGAAATCATCTCCACCTCCTCCACTGAACAAGTCAACTCCTCCTCCATACGTGAAGAGCTCCCCTCCTCCTCCTCCAGTGTACAAGTCTCCACCTCCATCTTATTAGAAGAAATCCCCGCCTCCTCCAGCGCCCATGTCATCTCCTCCACCGTACGTGAAGTCGTTACCACTAACTTATTGATTTCGAGACGAATGCAAAGTCGAGACGAATGCAAAGTCGAGACGAATGCAAAGTCGAGACAAATGCGAGTAAGGATGTCTTGCCCATAATCTCATGCTCCATTTAGAATGTTGCAATTCTGTTCACTGGAAGAAGCAACGAGTTGGCCATCAGTTTTCGATTAGTCCATCGGAGTGTCTGATTTCATCGTCACTCTGAACGCTGACAGTATCTATCGGAAAATGAACTGTCTTCGAATGTGAGCATGTGACTTGTTTTTTGAGAGATGGGCTGTTGGTGTAGAATTTTTAGAACAAGGTCGGTGTGTTGTAGTAATTGGCCTGTACATGGTCAGTTGGCTAGAGTGCACATGTAGCTTGATCTGTTGCCACTACTAATCGGTTGAAGCATCTGTGCATTCAGGTTGAAGGACTTTGGGCTCGACGAAATGCATGCTCAGCGTCTGTGGAAGAGTGATGCCATTTCCAAAGTGGATCGCGCATAGAAATGTTCGACATTTCCGTTTGTGTAGGGTGCATTTACGATTATTTTCCGAAGGACTGAACTGGATGCTTCGGTGGTTTCAACTGAGAGATACGTACAGGAGATTTTGTGGCGTAGCTGCAGCTTACAAATACACTGTTCAAGTGCCTCAAAGGGACTTGCTAGAATTGTTCCTTGATTGATTTTTATCCAATAAAGACATGTATGATGATTTTCATCATGCACCTTCTCGTCCTTTCCGAAGCTCAATAGTCACCTGCTTACGATTTCGGAGAGCAGCGTATTACACTCATGAGACAAAAACAGTTCACTCATTCGATTTGGGCATGGAAGTAAACATTATCGCACGCACATCTATTCTTGTGAACTGTTTTCATGGCTACTGACAGTGAACTTCCAGATAGTTGCGCTAAAGATGGTGTTTTGGGTGAAGTTGATACAACAATGTGAGCAGTCGCTTCCAATGCAGACGATTCTGACAACCTCACGTTGAAGCAAAAGTTAGGACTATAATTTACCGTCTAATAGAGAGCTCTCAGAAGAAATAACTTCGGACTAGATTGTAGAAGTAACTCAATGTAACAAGTTCAGTTTCTCTTGACTGATGTAAACAGAAGTCTGAAGGGAAAGTAAGGTGAGGAGATGATACCACGCTACGTTCCGAAGTCTTTGAACCTGAGGGCAGGGGATGTGCAGCAACAACCCTAATTCGTCGCAAAATTCTGCAGATGTTGCTCAATGGCTGCACTCAAGACTCCAAATCGAGTGGAATGCATATGTGGAGTAAACCTTGCAAGTGCCACCTCCAAGTGTGATTGCAAAGCTGAGAACTCAATTGGGTTCGTAGAAGCTAGAAGTCTTCGTCGACAGGAGTGAGGTCAATCGCCATCCTCTCCTTCCCCTTGGTAACCTTGGCGATAGCGATGAGCTCCTCCAGCAGGTTCTTAAGGTTACGCAAGGGCCATTGCGTAGGGCCATCGCAGGGCGCCTGCCTGGGGTTGTCGTGCACCTCCATGAAGATGCCGTCTACTCCTACGGCCACACAAGCCCGGGCAATGCAGGGGATGAGCTCGCGCAGGCCACCGCTCGCAACGCCTCCTCCCTCCAGCTGTTGCCCAGCCGGCTGTTGTAGAGAATGAGTGATATCTGCAACAACGGGAGCACCCGCTTCTCGCATCCACTCCAAGTTCCGGGGATCCACAATTAGGTCATTGTAGCCGAACATGGTGCCTCTCTCGCACACCATTACATTGGGGTTTCCTGCGAGCCGAACCTTGTCGGCAGAGTTTCGCATCACAGAGGAAGCACAAAACTGGCCCTTCTTTATGTTGATGACTTTCCCGGTCTTGGCAGCTGCTACCAAGAGGTCCGTCTGCCGGCACAGAAATGCAGGAATCTGGATGATGTCCGCCACTTTAGCCACCGTCTCGCACTGACTCGGATCGTGCACGTCCGTCAAAACAGGAACGCCACAGGTCTCCTTCACCAGCTGCAAAACCTTCAGCCCTTCCTCCATCCCCGGCCCTCGAAACGACTTCGCCGAGGTCCGATTAGCCTTGTCGAAGCTAGACTTGAAAATCAGCTTCAATCCCAGCTCGTCTGTCACAGTTTTGATCTGGCGCGCCATCTTCAAACAGTGCTCCGCTGACTCTATCACATTCGGCCCTGCCATCACGAAGAACGGCTCGGACGACTGCAGCTCCATGAAGAAGGCAGAATAAGTTGAAGCCGCCATAGCTCCAACTTCTACCCACAACAAACTCTTTAAATCTAAGACTAGCCACTAAACTTCGACACCCAGTTCGCACACAACATTTTTCCAAGTGCGCTCAAATACGAAAAACCTCGCAGAGCACTCCCTGTCCCCCACAATCTGCAAGGGAGTGTCAGTTACAAAAGACAATTCAAAGCATCAAGCTGGAGAAACGACTCGAGGCAGGAAAAAGAGTCACAGAGAAGTACATTTCATCAGTACAGTGCAATCTATGGACTCCATCCACTGAGTAGGTAAAAAAACTGGCGTCTATTTCGCACTAAGTTACAAGACAAGGTCTCAAGTGGCACAACACGTCGATACTGAGTAGCACTAAGTAATAAGCAGCGCATCTCATTCTTTCATTGTTCCAGACCTAATTGTTCATCACACTGCAATGCTTCTGTAAATTGCGTCACCATTTGTGAAACTGTTGCCTGCATTTGTTGCAGGAAATTCGTTCTTTACGCGTATGATACCTGGAATTTTTCCAGTTCCAGACCCAAATTTTGAGCCTGTCCTAGTCAGTTCTTCGCTTGAAGATTTCCATTTTCGAGTTAGTTGTCCAGAAAATGAGGGTATACATAAACGACACTTTCAAGCAACTTATGAAAACGTTTATTAACGTAGAATTGGTTAAGCAAGAAAAAGAAAAGGAAATGTAATGCAATAATATCGCTGCGAAGGGTTCGTGAATTTATCCAATAAACTGGTGTGAGAGAACCTATGACAATAACGAGCAAAATCTGAAATTTCCTCAGAACATTTGCGGACATGGACAGCATAAGTAATACCGATCAACATTCTCGTCTTATAATATCACTGTAAATGCACATCATGCGTAATCAAATCATACTCACAAATACCAATCGCTTCTTGCACACCTGTCAACATCATCCTTGACAATCGGACAATGCAGACTGTAATGCCCACATTCACACGGTGAAAACTTCGGTAACATCCTCAGAAGCAAAATTGCGAAGAACGATTGCATCAGACATCTCACGAAATGTGAGGAGATGAGAGGGCAGAGAACTTCTCCTTTTGAAAGGATCATGTTCATCGATGGATATGACAATGTTCTCTGAGAACACCGCTGATTTAACTATGTGGAGAGGTTGAAGGTATGTCAGAAGAGCCGTTGTGAACAAGTGATCTTATTGTCACGGTGATGAGTCCATACTATGATGCCACATTGCTTCGGTAGCAGTTGCGTTTGGATGTGATGCACTACCACTGGGAATTGAGTAGAGGTTTTTTTTCTTTCTTTTAGACAATTATGACCATGTACCTGTCCAGAAATTGTTTTTTCATCACGGATGATAGAGGTAGAAATTGCAAGCTAATCAGTGTAATTATAAAGAAAGTGTTCCCGATCTGGACTGCCAACATCGGCGCTGCTGCAAAATTCACATCTTTCTTCGACTGTCTCACATATGGGAATAATGCGCGGTAGCTTCACACGTGCTGACACTACCCTCATGGACTGGATTGATTTCGGTGTCTCTATGATTCAGTCACATTCTACAGGCTCACGGCACACCATGACAATCGAGAGAGATACATTGGCCGATATATACACATTGACTGGATCTGTAAAACAAAGTGCACCCGATTCTCCCCAAAACAGTAACCACAGTTTAGCAAGAAGGCCCTGTATGAACTTGATGAAGCACAATTTCGTATTTCAAGGCCAATGGCTTATTATACAACACGATTCACCGGAACCCCAGTTGACGAACTGAACCTACGATTGAAAATTTCGGTGAATAACTTAGTTGGGCCTGGCAACCAAGAACCCGCAGATCTGCACCTGCTTCACGTTGTCGAAGCCCAACACGCGCACGAAGCAGCCCGGGAAGGTTTTCTTGCACTCCTCGATCTCCCTCAACACCTGGGCGGAGTCCTGGCACCCGAACATGGGCAACTTCCACATGGTCCAGTAACGACCATCGTAGTACCCTGGGGATGAGTTGTTGGTGCGGGACACACCGTTGGCGTTCTGTTCTCCAACATGGCCACTCGTCAGGAAAATGGTTCCACGATTTCCTCCTCTTGAGGCAATTACCATAACATCTACTCCACACTCTACAAAAGCGACATAGAAACCAAATCCTAGAAGTCCAGTTGTCCACACACTTCCCTAAGTCTGAGACATATCTCAAAAGTCGTATATGGCAGCTAACGAAATCAGGGAGGGTTCACAAAGCAGGAAGCTTACCACGTCGAATTCCAGGCAGGGGATGAGCTTCTGCTGAATCATGTACTCCACCTGCTTGGCGATGGCGTCGTCGGATAGAGGGGGCAAGTAGGAGAAAGTCTCGAACTTGGTCATGCCAATGGGGTTCCACACCTGCATGCACTGCACGCGGCTGCCATTCTGGACGGAGCTCGAGTTCTGGGCCTTGCCGGAGAATACAGTGGCGCTCTTGAGACCAGAGAAAGCCTTGACGGTGGTCGACCCGGAGGTAGACGCAGCGGGTGAGGCAGCGGCGAATGCAGTTGGTGCCACAACGGCGGATGCAGCGACGGTGGAAGCCATAGCTAAAGTTTGGTCCCGACACAATAACAACACAAAGCCTCTGATAGTACGCTGTGAGTGTGTCCGAGAGCCGTGAAGTGGTGCTTTTGTAGGAAACGATGCGGACCACGGAAGCCACAGATTTGCTTGCAGGGAGATAGGCGAGAGTCACAGAAGATGGCCATTGAATTCTATCCACAAATCCCGTTTGGGCATCTGATCTTGCCATGAATGGCGATGGCCCCACAGAGGGTGTATGTGGGTGGTTTTCCTCCCCCCCCCCCCCCCCTTCGCTCTCTTTTTTACTTTCAGAACTTTTGTTTCCGATGTTTGCTGACCTTTCCTAAATCTTTCGGTAGATGATACTGATGGAACACATGATTTCGCCTCTTCGTCAGTGTTTGTCAAGGTGAAGACGAATTGCGGCGAAACTGTGAATTTTCATGCAGTGATGTGCAGGAAAGGGCATTTTAATTCTTCGAAATTGCGCATGTAGGCGATGAATTGAACTTTTGGTTGATAGAAGAATGAATAAATGAAACTAGGCAAATGTGAACGAAGAACAATTCGTCTCACAGCAAATTGATTGATCACTTCTAGTGTTGTGCAAATTTGTGGGGAATCGTGAAATTTTAGTTTTTACATGATTAGATGTAGTCGTTTTGAAATAGGATTGTACAGAACATTGTGTTGAATCGTTTTTATTGTAGAAATATGTACCTTGAGAAAAAAGGAAATGAGAAAGCACCAATCATCACAAAAGTGATAGCCTATGAACTAATGGTGTAGCGGATCAAATCGTTTATTATAATGAATGTTTGTAAAAGTTTAAGAGAAATACAATACAGGTGTTATCAGTGTTTAGAATGTAGAGTAGTTCATGATGTGATTTTTTTTTGAGTTATATGATCATGATCATGTTATTTACTGGAAGAATTTTGATGGCTTTCAATACTTTCTTATCAATCTAAATTTACTCCAATTTTTATTATCCAACTCCAGTGTGCACATTAAACAACTTTGTACATAACTAATGACATGATTTCAGCGGAAATTGATGGTAAATCTCTTGGTGAGCAGTGTTATCGTGCTTATAAGAAGCTGGGGGAGATGTACCGTGTACAAATATTGCATTTGGTTGCAAGCCAGTACATACGAAGTGGTTAGCCAGACTGGATCATGATCTAACACAAAACATTCCGCTTATAGTACTGAAGTAGGAAATCTAAACTTCATTTTTTTGGAATTCTTCCATTCATTATTATATATATACAGTGAAGACCATGTATTACAGCTGAAGCAGCGTCGACATACGTATCGGCACTTATTTCAACATGTCAGCAACAAAACGTTCTAAGACACGTTGTCTAGAACGTATTTTTGAGTAGGTAAGGGATTTGTGCCAGGTTGTGGTGGATTGAGGATGGTAATTTTTTTTTCTCAAAGATGTAAGAAATATTTCTGATACACTGATATGTAACATCTAGAGGTGAAATAACGTCACTTGAAGTCACAGTAAATGATATTATTATCGTGAGCACAAGTATAACCACGGGATTCTCGAGGGCAAACTGCAATGCGCATTTCATCATCAAAAGATAGACACAGATGGCATCAGCACAAATCATGTAGTGTCGTCGTATGAATGTGCCATTTGTAAATGTTTCTTAGCCATGTGCAATGAGTTAACGAAATAGTAGAAACAAGCTTCAATCGAATTAAGGAATCCACAATTCTCACAATCAGACCAAGATCCCAAGCTGAAGAGCCAAACGATTTTCTTCACTTGAGAATCGTGGGTAAGCATACTCCTACCGAATCAACTTCGATTGATGGATTGATAAGCGAAGAGAAATCTACATGTCTTCTTTTCTTTTTCTAAATAGGCTGCACAGGTTACTGTATGAGTTAATCATTACCGAGGTACTGATCCAATTCTACAGATCCTCAATTGTTTGTTTTAGAACACGGGTGTGCAAGATACTTGAAGAGCCATGAACCTGCCATGATCAGTAAATGCACCTCCCTAGGAATATTCGTCAACATCTCCACTGCAGGTGGACCAAGAAATGAAAGTTGTGGAGCCTGTAAACGACATTTCACAACCTGGACAACAATGTTTTTCAATAATCAACCCAGTCGGTAGATTTGTAACCTAGAGCATACACGTGCGATACACTACAGCACATTTACTAAGTACTGAATATCGAAAGATTCTGTTCATGCAGTATCTACCATAGCCACAATCAGCGCGTTTGAAAACAGTAAGTATGCTCTGAAGGGCAGTTTTACACAGATCCACATTCTACAGAGTTCGCAAACTACTTCCCGGTACAGTTAGCGACGAGATTTTCCATTTCTAGAGATTTTTTTTTAGCATTTCCACTGCACGCATTGGTTACACATCAATCAAAGGTCGTTTTGACGGACAACAGAAATAAAATCTCACTTACTTGTAACATCTCCAAGAGCAAATGCCATTTTTCACATCAGCAACTACTCACAGATTAAGCACATGTGCCACGAAGAAGCGCAATAAGCAACCGATTTCCACAAAGTTCAGCAGAATGATAAGTATATATCATTGTTAGTCATTCCCAGAGAATGAGATCACGTCTGTGTTGATCAACTGCAAAAACTAGTAAAATTACGCCAGTCCTTGAACTCAATTCTCCATAATCCGCTAGGACAAACATAAATTATGATCAACAGAGCCTCTCGAGTCCCCAGAGTCTCGCAGACACATCACCTCCCACGACATATTACAACTCACATAGAACAAGGCACAACTTGAGAAACGTGACGTGGGAGAAAGATACCCATCCAATCACGCACACTCAGTCCACTTTTATAAAGAAAACCAGTTCAGCGTCACAAATAAATTACCATAAAGAAGTATCAACCTTAGATCGAAAGCATCGAAATGTACAAGAGCCTCGCGCCAGCACCTCAGCAATGTGATACAAACGATCGATCACTCCGACGGAACCCTCTACTGCCATGCCGTGAGGGTCCCCTCAAGGACGGTCCAGAGAACTGATACATCCGTATGTTCTACGCTACCCAGTGAACCGTTCGCGCGCGCTCAAGCCATGCCGCCGCTAGTGGCAGTCCTGAAGATCTGAATAATGGAAGACCCAACAACGACGAAGACAAACAAGCCGAGAACCATCGGTCCGACGGGGTACTGGTTCTTCTTCTTCAACGTCGTCTCGGGCACGTTGCCCCTCCTGTGCACGTTCTTCTGGAACTTGGCACTCTTCTTCTCTGCGAGCCTCTTGGAAGTCGTCATCTCCGATGGAATCAATCACACCCCAAATCCTCGCAAACCTGTGCCACCTCCCACAACTTCTTTCTACACCCAAAGCTCCACAACACGCTTCAAGCGAACACAGAACGACGCTTGGTAGACCAACAAGCGTCACACAGATGGCCGACGTAGCGACCCACCGCAACGCCGCTGTGTAAACAAACCAATGGACACACCGAGCGAATGCAGGCAAGGGGGCTGATATAACAAGTGCGGGGATGACGACGACGTGAAGCAAGCGATGCCGCGTGCCGCATTGCACGAGGACGATTTAAGGACGTGCAGCTGAAACCGACGTGGCCAAGCCAATCAGTTGGGGTCTTGACGAATCAGGAGAAGGTGGCCAATGGCACGAGATTCATGCTTTAGTTACGGCATTCATCCTGGCGACAATTCTGCGCGCTACAGGTCCTCCTGCGACGAGCCTCGCGTCCACACGCGTATTGCGTTGCTAGGTTCCACCTGGGCCTGATTTTTGTCACCCCGTCCGCACACCTACCGACAAATTGTGCTCACGACGCGATCCGCTCTACCATCCCGACATTTATCTAATACATGCACCCGGAAATTTGCATCTGGGGCTTGTGTGCTCAGGTAGAATGGAGAATCTGGCGCAGTGGACCATAACCCACGAGATGGATGCTGTTCAATAGAAATCGGGTTCATCCGCAGTGCGAGTTGGCGTTGTGATTTCGCCATGGGCTCATCCTTGCTTGCTTGCCCCTTGTTGCGTCACGGATTGTATTTGACGCCATCGCCAAGGCTTGGCAACTAAACTCGACGCACAGTCTTGTATTGCGGTGTCGCGTAGTCTTGTGGTTGCTCTTACAACAGCCTTGTGCCGGAATGATGGAAAGTTGGTGGTGGGTGGATCGATTAGCAATGGATGAAAAATGGTTCAATTTCATGTGGTTTTATTAAATTTGTGATTTAGAAGACTTTTTGAAGAATATTTGGTGGTGCCAATGCTTTGGTTGTGATGTTATGCATTTGTGATGGACTACACAAAGGTTGGATGTTTTTAGGGTTTTGAATTTTAGATGATGTGCTCAAAAAAAATAAAAATAAAAATAAAAATGTTAGATACTACTATTTTTAAAACCTTTGGGTTGTATTTTTAAATGGTTTTAAAATTGAAATGCTTAAGGTGCCTTGTTTTGTAATATAGTGTGTGTTGGTAATATTGTAAAAAAATCACTTTGTATGTAAAAAAAAATTAAAAATAATAGCAATAATTTTGATCATTGGATGAATTTATGACACTATTTTTATTAATTTTATTTCATGGAGTGTGTTAGCTATTGTGTGATTGTAAAACAGATTCAATTTTTTTATATTCTATGATTCAAAATTTTAGATTTTATTTGCAAATTGGAATATCTCTTATGAATTCATGTAGACTTATAAAGCTGTACAAAAATTGTAAAATAAGATCTAATATGTACATTTACTCCAACTTCATAGATATAAATTAAAATGTATAGACAAATACAATAAGAATTATATAAAACTATTCATGTATTTTCCCAAAATAAATTGTATTGAATACAATTGAAATAGTTAAGTTTTATGATAGCACACAAAACAACATACAATTATATCTATGAATAATAATATAAATAAATAAATAAATAAACAACTTTCAGATTTGGAATTTTTCAAATATATATATAGGAAATTGTTAATGCTACATCCCTAATTGATATTGCAACACCCTAATTAATACTTACCACAATTGCAAGGGGAGCTATGCCCCTCCTCCCTCCCTTGAAGTGTTCAAGCTAATCGATCAATGGACAGGGTCGAGAGACATCAACTCTGCAGGAATCTCCAAGCAACTCAAAAATAGGTCTTGGGAATTGGCCTTCCTAACATGGTGAGAAAAACATATAGGGAAGTGAAAAAAAAAAAACAAATAATGTGTAAGAGACAATTCTGGAGACTAGGGTTACAAAAATTAAAATTAAAAAAATTAAAACCACCTCAATTCAAAATAAAGTTTTACAAAAAGTCCAAAAATAATTTCTTTTAAGGGGCTCCACCCTTAGAGAACCATTCAAAGCTTGCAATTGTGGTAGGTATTAATTAGGGCATAGCAACATCAATAAGGGATGTAGCATTAACAATTCTCTTTAAATATAATATGTTTTATGCTTGGGAATCTCTTACACAAGTTTCTTAATACATTACTACACAAATTGTAATTATTTTAAAAAATATAAATGGTATTAAAAAAAACCTAAATATTTATTGATCTATGTTAGAATTCAAAAAAATAAAATAAATTATGATATTTATTTCTTCTCCTTTTTATTTCTTATATTTTATTATTATTGAAAATTTTGACATGCCAACATTGGATACTTGCAAATTACTACTAGAAGATGTATTCAGTTTTCATTGAATAATTTAGTAACAGAAAAAGCAAAAACTTACCAAAAAAAAAAAAAAAAAAAACTAAAACTAAAAACTAAAAACTAAAAAAAAAACTAAATAGTAGTATAATTATACACAATAGATATACTGTGTAAAGACAGCATGTTCAGAAGTATTCACCGACAATTTGTTATTTTTTAGAAACATAATACATTAGAAAGCAGTAAAAATCCATATTTGGTGTATTTCCAAGACATAGATTTAAAAACTGATAACTGCAAAACATTTTTAAAAAGTACACCTAAAAAACCACATGCTCTTACTTAACTCTTTTTAATAAAATTACATCAGTTTTTTTTTCAAAGTATCGCAAAATTTCAAAATTTGTTTGAAAGATAATTAGATTTAACTTTTAACGTTACTTGTAATAGTTTGTAATATATATATATATATATTTATATTTATATTTAAATATACACATTGTATGGATAATTATTTTTATAAGTAAAATATTTACATGAAAAAATGAACTCAATTTGAAGAAAATAAAATGATATTAGAACTTTATAATGGATATCCAAGTCAATTGCAATGTATCATAGCTATTACTTGTATGTGTGTATGTATGTGTGTATATACATATTGTTTGTGTTTGCAATATACTTCAGAAGTTACAACATTATATAAAAATACATAAATATCACAAAACATATAATATTAATTAGTTATTATTATTATTATTATTTTATTTCAGAATAATTGATACAGTTTGTAGCAAAGATAATTGAGTGATATTAACTTAAAAAAATGAAATTTAGAAAAAGTGAATGTTGATTTTAAATATTGTTTAACCCAAGCTATTTGTTCATTGAAAATTTGAAGATTGCTTTTCCTATAAAATTCCAACATCATTTATCAATAGTTTTAAACCTTCTTACTTTTCTAAATTTGAAGCAATTAGATTTGAGTTTTTCAAATTTGCAAAGAGTCATGTCAATAACGAGCGCTGCAATTAGAATCAGATTACGTTTCTGATAAACTCGATAGGAAATACTAACTATCTTCAACTTATTGAAATATAATACTAATTTCAAAGAAATATAAAATTTACTAAGAATTCATGTGTTATCAGAATTAATGCGTATCATTGACAGAAATGTATTATAACCAAGTATTGGTTTGTATTCGTCTGATAGCTCAAAAAAATTGTTCACAAATGCTTAAAAACAGTTCAAATTTTAAAACATATATTCTAAAATATGATACAAATTCATCTATTTATTTGACCTTCCTTCTTACTATTGTTATTAATCTCAATATTTGACAATTAGACTCAGTTTTTTCTTGTGTTTGTGTCTTAGGCAAGGATTTTCATACTTCATTCTTCTTATTCAACAAGATAGCAGCAGAAATAATAGTAATAAGATAGTAACAATTTCTTGATAACATTAGCTTTGTTTGGAGAGTATTTTACATAAATTATTTATTACAGCAATAATGTTTGTTATTAAATATTGGGAGAAAATAGATCATCATCACCTAACGACCATTTCATCATGCCTCAGAGGCCTACACTACATTCAAATAATTTACTAAATTACTATTACTAATAGTATTATTTTCAATCAATCACTGTAAACATATGCCTCGTCCTAGTTCATAATTTAGTTCATTCTCTTGATTGGAATTTATATCGAATGCTCACATCTTTTATCCAATTTAAGAGCCCTTTGTTTCTTTTTCTTCCTCTCCACTAAGTAAACTTCGTTTGAAACTGCCCAACCAACCAGAAGCATTGATCATGGAAGATGTCTGGCACACGAGACAATCAAACTATCATACTCCCTCATGGATCAAAATATAAAGATGGTCAGATTTCAAGTTCCAATGAGCAATGAATATATATATATATATATACATGTCCATCCATCCTATTAATGTTGTTCGAGTTACGAGTGCAAGCGAATGATACAAATCCATTTGGTTTTAACTGAACATCACTGCACAATGTGGATTCCATATCCATTTCTACAGCTTCAGAAACTACATTCAGCATCATCGCTACATATTTCCATGTTCCTGCACCTATGCTGCCTTCATCCTGCTGAATCCCACATCATTGAAGCCTAACCAAAGGCGATGCAGAGACATAAATAACAGTACTGTGTCATTCCTTTACTGATACCACAGAAAGGCAAATGGGAGAACAATTGTGAAGCTGTAATTTTGCAACGTACCCAATCTTGCTGGATTTTGATGCAGCTCCCAAGAACTGGTTTCATGGTCTGTAGAATTGTAATCACTCGTCAACTCCTCCGTGGTCCGGAGAGTAAGTGCTTCAAACAGCAAGAGATCTGTCCCAACTGCATTCTCTAACTCGCTATCCATAAGAATGAACTTCAAGGTATTTCAAGGCTTTGATGAAATAGACTCAGCCTTGTGAAGGATACTTATCAGTGAGTAAAACAGCTCGATTGATTTCGAACCTCATGAGACGGCCAGCTGCACCCATGCAAACTCTTCCACATAACCTTCACATGTAGAGTCTGACTTGTTGCAAGATGCAGCACACGAATAGACAGCAATAGTGGCCCAGTCCAGAGAGTCATTGTCCGTCTCGTTCTGCACTTGCAGAAAATAGAGCAACTGCGGCAGCAACTGAAACTCAAATATTCGAGGTCCTCCACAGTTGAAACAAGGGGTTATGTCACTTTGCTTGGGCTGGCCTTCAAGTGAGGGCCACAAGGGCTTGGCACCCTGCGCTCGGCAGTATCTCAACACTTGGTCGGGTGCTCCAGCCAGCCGTGCCTGAAAAGCTGCCCAATTTTGTTGCTCGCGAGAAGACTCCTCCACATCTTCCATGTCAGTAGCAGTGAATTCTTCACCGTTGTTTTCTCTTCGAATTTCGTAATCCTGTAGCAATTGCTGCGGGTTCCTTGACGTATTGATGGCATCACTAGGCATGCTGTCTTCTTCTTCTCCTACGATGAGCTCCACCTCGGGCCATATCTTGTCACTGATGGCATTAGCGATGCCGGATTTCAGCAGCGTGTCTGTAACCCTAGTAATCACACCCTGGACCATGGTTCGTACAGCGTCTGTCGTGGAATTCTCTGGGTTCTGCACAAACTTGAGTTCGGATTCTTGTTTATTTGATGCTAATTCTGCTTGCACAACACGACAAAACGAATCGTGGCCTCCACGCCAATGCGCAAGCTGGTGCACTCGGGAACAATACCTAGCCTGCTTACACCCTCCACACACGCTAGTCGCTTTCCAGGCACCACACCAAGTGCACACAGGCACTGCTTCGGTTGCTGGTGAGCTGTCTCTACTAGGAGGATCGTAATCGTAAAACCTATTGGTACGGGGGAGCTGCGACCGAAACACCTTAACACTTCTGCAAGGTCTCTCCGGGCTTTTCTTGAGTTGATGATGCTGGTCTTGCTGCAAGCATGCCATGTTGGGACAAACGAAGAGAAAGAGGCTTCTGTGAAACACTTCTTCTCTGTAACCAACGTCGTCAATCCCAATGGGCGCGTACACTTGCATGAGAAATCCTAAAGGATTGTCACAAATTCCACATTGAGTGTTGTCTCCCTCAGGTATGTTGATAGGATCCAGCCAGGCCGGCGTTCCACCAATCTTACACGGGAAATGCTGCCTTGCCATCTTCCATGGCTCCTCCACCGCCTGCACGAACCCAAGAGTCACCATCAACTCCTCATCGTCACTGTCGTCCTCTACATCCTCTTCTACACCATCAGAGCCCAATTCGAAATCCTCCCTCTCGGAGTCATCTCCCAAGCTCATAGCAAACACCTCTGCAGACAAATGTACCGCACTATTACGATCGTCTGCCATCTTTCCCAACTCACAGAAAAACCTGGAAAACCCCAACTCTGCATAATTCCTCCACAAGCTCTCCAAGAGTGCGGAGTAATGTGATCTAAAACCCTAAACCCAGGAAAACGGACGAGACAATTTTTTCGTTCATTGAACGAGAATTGTCGACGTCGCCTCCTCGGTTGTGACACCTGAGAAAAGCGGTGCAGCAGTTCCAAGCACTGCGCTGGGCACTCAACTTGGAGCCTCGCCCCCATCACGGGAGCTTCATCTTCACGCTTGAGCTGGGGGACTTTAGAGCATTGGCGAGTCCGCAATTCGAGTCTTCTCGTTTGCTTCCGGTGGTACACAGTTGGCTCTGCAGGAATTTGGCAAAAACTGAAGACGAACCAGTGGCAATCAAGCAGGTGAGTTCACCTGTGGGATTCATGGTTGAAGGGGTTTTGCAAAAATTTCGTTCTGAGCGTCCATGGCATTCTGTAGTAACACGTTGTTGGGAATTACGCGACTTGTGAGGGTTCGATAGAAATATTTCTTGGATCTTCTCTCTGGAGAAACTATATTGATCAGACAAGCTCTGAAGAATTGTATGAAAGATGTGTAAACCCACAGCTACAGTGTTCGAAGAGGTTTCTTTTCATTGTGCAAGAATACATGGTTATTGAATCGAACGTTTCAGGACTATGAAGGAGATGACAAAGAGCAGCTTGAAGGATCCAGATGGTGTTTTGAAGTGAAATATGCTAATTAGGCTCTATATGGGATTCAATTTAGGCTATTGCATACCCTGTCGAGCTACTCTTTCCATGCTTGTTGTTGCAAGGATATACATTACGTTTTTCACTTATTAAAGACGTCTTGAGCGCATCGGTTTCATCTTTTCAACTTGCAGAACGTGCTACCTTTTTCAAACTCAATCTGACGTCATGTGCTCCTGTAATGCGATGAGCATTGTGTATTAGGACGCAAATACCTATAGTACTTTTTTCTCAATGATAGTTGTGAAAGTATTTGCATCTCCACGTTGGGCTTCTGTTTGAGTGATGCGGATCGTATACTTCATTTGCTTTTGCAACTCTTTACGAGTGACTAGCTTCCTGATTGTGAATGATGACAAGTAGGCCAATTGATGCGGACTCGACGGAGCAAAAAATCTCAGGAAGGAGATTCTGGTGAGTGCATTCAAGCGCATTTCGTTCTAGATTTCATAGAATTACTAACGTGAAGAAATCCTTTCTTGGTAACAGATCTGCAAGAAAATGTTTTACTTTGTGGGTAACATTCTTCATGGTTGTCGCGCATGAAAATGGTTGTGCAACTTGCTGGACTTTGCAGGCTTAGATAGCCTCCTCAGGAGCTTGCATGAAGATGACGCTTCAGCTCGCGGTGGAGATGGCACCGCTGCCCCAGGTGCTGGTTATCGTGTACACAGTTAAACTTAAGTTTTGCACTAATAAATGCAGGACTTGGTACACGCAACTTATTCTTCTATTTCTTGTTTATTATTGTGTTCTTCAAGAGTTCATACCTTTAGACATTGCTGTATTTCTGGGTCAGGGTTTTAATTGGTGGAAGCTATAATTTTGTAGATACTTTGGCGGATGCGTCGCGTCATACTGTGGATCAACTGCTGGATCGGGTTGGATCTAAACGGAAAAAGCGGGTTGGAGTTTCATCCAGGGCCATCATTGTGAGTCCTTTAATCGTTTCCTCATTACTGAGCAAATTTTTTTGTACTGTTATCTAGGATCTTAGCTTTTTGTACGTATCTCAATTTATGACACGGAACAGTACTGAATGAAAAGAATGCAACTTACTATGGCAGGATTTACCTGATGGACGGGGTTCTCAGAGGAATACTCCCAAAGTAGTTTGTGGAATGCGTGCACGGACAACTCAAGAGCTTGAATCAAGCCAGCGAAATTCTGAACCGAGCACGTCTGAGCCGGCAAGCGCCAGTCTTTCTCAACCAGTTGAAAGACAGGTTTGCTCTTTATGGCAGATCATCCACATCAATTCTGCAGTAATTGAGGACAATTTGTCATTAAGATAATTTATGAAGGAGGTGGACAAACGGTTGCTACATATTATGAAGATGTCGTGAGGAGTGATTGCGAAAAGTTTGTAATCGTGTGTCTCTTGTAAGTGCAAGATGTCGTTTAAGTTTAGAAGCCAAGTCGTATTAGATTTACCCCCAATCGTTTCCTTGTGGCTGAGGAACAAGACATTGATAGTGTGGACATTTTCGTTATCAGGAGGATAACGACAGCCATGTTCCATGTGATGAGGACTTCGATTGGGAAGACGGTGATGATGGGACCCGAATTGAAGGAGCTGATGATACTATTCAGAAAGGATGGTCTGGAAAAATTACCTTCGACGTTGATAACAGTCCTGGAGAGGAATCGGAAAAGAGATCGAAGAAGTTCAATCTTCGAAGGGCTAATGCCAATGACAAGGTGTGTTATTTTACAAAATTATTACTTGCAGTCGGACTATTTCTTTGGACGAATTTGGAAGAATTTTCCATTTCACAAAGCAGAGGATCACCGGTTAATTTATCATTCTGGTCTTTCCAGGTGATTAGTGATGATATCAACTTGAAATGGTTATGACGTAGTTAAAGTTAGTTTCATCGCAAGTATTTGACCTTCGTCCTACCGGGAGCAGAGATGGGTCGGATATGTGGGGTTTGTTTAGACCCAGATGTCCAGACTGACCAGTACTCATCAATGGTGACAGGAATTTGCTGCCCAAGTACATATGGCACATTTGCTGTGTTTGTTAGCTCGAGGAAGGATAGTATCTCAATCAAGTGATGATTCGCTACTCCAGGTCAGTATCGCAGGTGTTGAAATTGCATATATTTTTATGTCAACTGCATGCTACGACCGCATCGTGGAAGTTTAGAGAGGAAAAATTCATGAGTTACGAGTATTGTGTTATTGTTATTGCGAACGAATTTGAGCAGGAGGATACCATGATTATGCGTGACAATTAGCAGCAATCGTGTTAAGAGTATGCGGTTTAATGTGTAAAATTCATTTGTCGAACCATTGAACAGGTGACTGATTGAGTTTTGCATTGGTCAAGTTTTGTGATCTGGAGTTCTGTTCTTCAGCATGATTCAAAATGCAAGTATATCAAGTCGATAGTTGTAACACTAATGGAAATACTGGATTTTGGCAGGCTGCTCTTGTTTCTTTATTGCCCCCCCGTCTTCTTCCATCTGCTGATGCGGACAGAGTAACAATTGGACGCGTAGAGCATCTAGTTAGCTGGGTGAGTGATTCGATGTCTCATGCTGTGAATTAGCGCTCTTGATGTCCCACAATCTGCAACAGATTTTGCAAATAGCTCAATGGATACTGGATTCTGTTTTGAGTTTTGTGTAGCTTTCATTGTTTTTCAAACATAATTATAACCCCAGACCTACTTTGCAGTTTAAAAACCAATTCCGATTGCTGACGCCTGATGAAGGTCCATCAAGACTCCACAAAGAGGATGCTGAAGCATTGGAATCACGTTTGCAAGAAGTTCTTCAGAAGCAGTGTGGCTCAGCAGAAGAGGTATATGTAAAGAGAGGGAGGGAGCGAGAGTTGAAGACAGACTATTCTTCCTTGACTTTTAAAATCTTCTCTGGTGTTTACCTAGGATGTTTTACCTGCTCTGAGACATTTCTGCACGCAATGTGGCGGGATTGAGCGTCGCACATGATTTTCTAGGTTTTCTCTTGTTCGCTTGTGAAGTATACAGAATTACTTATTTATCCTTAAAGTATCCCTGATGACCCGTTTATTGATTGTTTGTCAGCTTGCAGCACTTTCGGTTGCAATGTTCCGAGGGCTGGGTTACATTTGTAGGTACGTCTCTTAGGGACTTGTCATGTAAATCTTAAGTCCATCATAAGACTACAGAATTGTGAAGCTTGTATTAGCCTTTTCGTGTATTATTCCTAAACCAATCGTTGGCATGTGAGCTGGATATTTAAAACCTTGTGGTACACGTTGGCACATGCAATCTTATTCACATCGAGTTGGTAGTCACTTTCAGTGAAGAGAAGTTACTGTTATTTACCCCGGAATGATCTCTTTTTGAAATCGACAACTAAGCTACACTTTGTCTTCAGGTACGTGACGATACTGGATGTTGCCTCCATTAAACCTGATGCCGAAAGTCTTGAAGCGTCTGTTGATTGGGATCCCAGTGCTCCGTTCTGCCATTCACGAATCGGGCCTCAGTTTCAGTTTGAGTTGAGGCAGCAGGTTGCAGAGCTTAGCAAGGTTTTAGCTCGTCCTGGACCTCAAGTATCAACAAACACTTCTAGTCCAATGGGTGAGATTCTGGCGATGCCATCTGGAGATACTGGTAGAAGAAACAGTGGAGGCTCCACAGCTAGTACTCCACCTGGAGAGAGGGGCCTTGATGGTTCTGGTCGCGGCGGTGGTCGAGGTCGAGGTCGAGGCCGAGGTCGTGGCAAAGGGAAAAATATTGATGACGAGTCTCCACTAGGGGCAGGTGCAATTAGTAAGACCACACCAGCTAAAAAGGGACGACGACGCACAAAAGCAGATAATAATGTTAAACAGGAAGAAAGTCCTCAGACTGTAAGGCGAAATTCGAAAAGGAAAGGGGATGAAGAGTTCGAAGCACAGCTAGCCATGGCACTTGCTGCCACTGCTGCAGCTGCAAAGGCAGAGGCCACACAGACCAGTCCAGCCAGCAATGGGAAAGAGGAGAGCAGCGTCAAGGAGCTTTGTTGGTCACAACGACGGGACAGTACCGAAAGCAATGGAGGAAAGTCCAAATTATTTGAATTTGGGGCAAAAGGTGTTAGTAGTGGGTCTGTATGGTCCTGGAAGATGGGTCCCGTGTTGCACTGGGCAGAAATCTACTGTGGAGGCGAAGGCAGCACTGGAAGGTGAGCACACAACTTGATCAACAGCGAAGCTTTCGAACTTGTTCCTGTAACCGTGATTTTCTAATGTGTGAAAGTTACGTGCATTTATAGAATGTTAATTGGCAAGTCTGTCTGGGAGGATATTGTTGTGGGGCACACGATTGCTTTGATGAATGCCGACGTTTGGCTTCTGAATAAATCACTAATCCTCTGAGCCAAGTTGGCTGTATTTACGCTTTGATCAGAAACTGACTCATCACTACAGGTGGGTACACGTGGACGCCACTAGAGGGATTGTAGATGGAGCTGCACAAGTGGAAGGGCAAACAGCTGCGTGTCGATCACCATTGCGTTATGTTGTTGCTTTCGCTGGTGCTGGAGCTAAAGATGTGACACGCAGGTAATGTCCTCGTGATTGCAATAACTTAAGTCCTATCAACGATATTCCTCAAGCTGGGTATCAGTTGGCAGAATTAATGTGAAAGGAAACAGTAACATTGTGCTTTCTAAATGAAAATTGTGATGTTTACATGTCTTCTGAATTAGATGAAGCATTTACAATCTTGCTAAATTTAGCATGTATTGGGTGGTGGTTTGCAGGTACGTGAGCTTGTGGTCATCTGTAGAACCTCTCAGGGTGGATTCAGAATGGTGGGAGTCGACCATGCTTCCTCTTAAACAACTGGAAGCAGCTGCAACTTCTGGACCTTCAGTGATACTTCCATCCTCAATGTCCTCGCAATCTACCTTGGGAAAAAAGTCAGAAATCAGCGATAAATCTGCTGGAAATTTGCCTCAGTGGACTCCTCGCGCTGATCGAGAGGATATGGAATTGGACACAAAGCTTTTTACGGAACCTCTGCCAACTAATCAGCAGGTCAATTTAAACCAAGTTACAATTAGTTTCCTGAGTATTTTATTCTCTTCTTTTTCATATCTCGTGAGATGTTTTATCTGGACAAAATGATATTAATACGATGTTTCTGCCAGTGATATCTGTGATTCATGTGCAATTTTCTAGTGTATAGGCTTACAAAACTCATCACATTTACGTGCTGGAGAGGTGGCTTAAGAAGTATGAAATCATATATCCAAAAGGTCCAGTGCTGGGATACTGTGCTGGGCAACCAGTCTTCCGGCGGAGTTGTGTGCAGACGTTGCATACCAGTGACAGATGGCTTCGAGAAGGTCGCAAAGTTAAACCGGGGGAGTTGCCTGCTAAGGTGTGTGATGTTAGAATTTTTTTATTGCCCTAGCTTCATTTTCTTATGTGCATGTGTTTCTAGGTTTGTTTGTGCAACAGTGCTTGTTCTGGTACTAAACTCACTGTGGAATGGATTATAGATAGTTAAATCGCGAGCCACACCAAAACAGAGCACTGGCGATGCTGAGGACTCAACACAGGAGGAAGGCAAAAAGGAACCCATCATGGCCGAGTTGTTCGGGGAATGGCAAACTGAAGAGTTTCAGCTTCCTCAAGCAGTTGGTGGGATTGTACCGAGGGTAAGTTTTATTTTTAACAATAAAAATTATCATCGATTGCAGATGTATCAATTGTAACTTAATAAAATTACCTTTATATTGTCTACTAGACACACCGAAAGATGTCATAATATCGTGATAAACTGATTTTGGTGGTAACACAGGAATCCAGTGATTATCTTACACTAAGTGTCTACCTGGAGTGTTACTGAAGAGCTCTTGTCTTGTTTCAGAATGAACGGGGGCAGGTGGATGTATGGTCGGAAAAGTGCTTGCCACCCGGCACTGTACACTTGCGGTTTCCTCGACTGGTTCCTGTGTGTCAACGTTTAGGAGTTGATTTTGCACCTGCTATGGTAGGCTTTGAAATTCGCAGAGGGCATTCGGTACCAGTGTTTGAAGGACTGGTGGTATGCGAAGAATTCAAAGACGCAATAATGGCGGTAGGTTACGAATGCCAAAGTATGGAAGACGTGTCTTCCGTGATTGTTCGTTGTCATGTCTCTGATGGTGTTTCTGAAAAATCATTTTGATGTGGGATCTAATAAGGTCATGTTGTTGACTTGAGTGTGATGTCACTTAAGTCACCAGAACTATAGTTGGCTGTTATCTCCAACATGATGCACACCATTCACCAGTACAGCACTGTTTTTTCTATTTTCGTTGTTTTGACTCATAGAACTTTGCATTGATTACATTCTGAGACTTTCCACAGGCGTATGCTGAATACGAGGATCAACGAGCCATACAGCTTCTGAAGAAAAGAGAGGAGCGAGCAACGATCCGATGGCGCCAGCTTCTGCTCTCAATCGCCACTCGGAAACGTCTGCGAGAAACGTACCAAGGGGACCCTTCAGAAGAAGCTGCAGCTGTCACCACAAAGCAGAAAATTTCTCCCGAACCTGCATCAAATACAGTCCAAGGTGAGAGTGTTACTAACTTGTCTACTTCGCCTTCCAAGGAAGACACCAGTTCCCAAGCAGCCGAGGCTGCAAACTCTGCACATAAGCATCACTACCTGGAGGATAATGAAAGTCACAATGCAGAGACTGGCATCACAACAAAGCGGTGTCGATGTGGATCTATGATCCAAGTAGAGCAGATGTAGGAACTGAAGATTTAGAATCCTTAATCTTCATCAATCCTAGGCAGATTCTTTGTAGCTTAGATCTCTAGCATTGAAGAAAAACTCTTGGTGATTGGCAATCTCCAAGTCAGTGTTTCTTTATACAATCTCCTCACAGCTATTTTTATTGACAGCTACTGTGTGGGGGGTGGGGGGGGGATGAGGGAAATCGTCCTGTTTTCCTTCACAATTCTTTTGTTCTCATGTGATTGAATATCGGCAAATGTTTGTAATTGCCACATTCAAGTCAAAGTTTGTCATTCTTCCTCATGTGGAGGTGTTCAGGCTTGAATTCATTGATTTTCCATGAATTGATAAAAGCGAGGATGATGCCAGTCTTGCCTTCACTTAGGCATATGCAAAACTAAGAAGCTTAGACAAAATTATTAAATTGTTGAACTTGAAGATTAACTTCTAAGCTAAATCACGGCTTATGTAAACTTATAGGTTCTGGAAACACCTGAAAGTTAGTTGTTGTAACACATGCTATATATATACAAAAGCACATAAAACTTTTTGTGTTCAATTTTTGCATCCCAAAATTAGCAAAATGCTCTGTAGAATCTCAATGGTCTGCAATTTGTGCATCCCAAAATTTACTATTGATAACATTTAATTGTAATTTCTAAATAAACTCATTAATAAATTCATATAAATTAATACAAATCTATTGTTTTCAAGTATAAAAATTAGTTGATCATAGTATAAAATATAAATAAATAAATAAATAAATAACATCTAAGATTTAGATACATTAGTGATAATATTAATTTCTCTTGTAAGTCATCTTGAGTGTTAGTAAAATACTTTTTCTATTTTATAATTTTGTCAATTCAATACAATGATTGCGTATTAGTAATACATGAGAATACATAGATCTTGCTTGAAACTTTACTAAACAATGAATTATTTTAAAAGTCAACTATTTCTAAAAAAAGTAGTAATAATTGAAGCATCTGATGTATAAATTTTACTTTCTTAATAAAAATTTAATATACATAGAAACTGATATAATAAAAAAATCAAAATACAACTTTTTACTAAAATTCAATCAACACATGAAAATTCCTCTTAGAAGTTATTCAACAACTTAAGAAATTACAATTAGAATATATATATATATATATATATATATACAATGCTAGTAATTCTTTAATCAATGTTCTAAAAAATAGGAATGGACACATCATATCAAAACGGCTTTATGTTATATACTATTCTGTCAGTTAGAAATTCATTTTTGTGCATACGTTTTTGAACAGCTTTACTTGTGAAAGAGTATTTGTGTAGACAACGTTTTTGAATCTTTAGGTGCCAAAAATCACTCACTGTGGTCAATACATTTTTTCAAAAAAATTAAAATAATGTAACCTACAAACAAAGTACTCCATAAATAAATGCCAAATAAATTTGTGCTATAAATCATGGTTTACATCTCATGGAACGTAATACTTTCTTTAGCAATATCATATACAGTAGCTGTACACACACACACACACACACAAATATATATATATATATATATATATATATTCAAAATATATTTATATATTAATGTAGTTGCATATTTTAGACATTTATTTATTTGTTTATTTATGATTCAGTCTTATTATGTTTTAATAAATACCCTTATTATGGATTGGAAATTTTGGGCCGCCCGAGAGGTAAGCATCTCATCCGTCCTACGTGGCTATCACAAGAATCAAAACCCATCTAACAATAACAATAACAATATCCAAACACGTCAAAGGGATGAATGAATGAATATAAGAACCCAACAGAGGAATGGGATATCCATCCCTCTTCACATAGAGCCCGGACGGACGGAGAAGCAACGAAGCACCAACCATATCCTTGTCGACGATATCGACCCAGACTCCGTCGTTCAGAACGAGCGAACAATGCAACGAACGAACGAAAGAACCAATGGGAATCACCTTACCGGCCAGCGATGGAATCGGAGACGACGACGACGACGACGACGATGGCGGTGCAGAGAAGAGTAGCAGGAACTGGGATGGTGGCATTGCTGGACCCGTGACTCGGGAACTGCAAATTCTTCATCTTCTTCGCCGTCTTCTCCATCTTCTTGAATCTCCATCTCATCAATCTTCAAATCCTGCCTTCACCATCATCATGCACTCCAAATAAACTGGCCTCACGTGGCTCTCCACGCCATTGCTATGTCAATTCCCCTCGGCACCCTTGTCATCACATCTCGGTGATCTGTCTATTGAATTCCTTCTCTCTGCCCCATGAATGAATTCTATGCAGTAAGTTAGCTGATTGGGCGAGGATTTTTTTTTTTTTTTTTTTTTTTTTTTGTGTGTTTTTTTTTTGTGACGTGGAAGATGATGTGATTTGGGTGCTGCTGCACTGTAATTTGAATACTGGGTTGTGTTAGTTCGTGTTCAAGAATGGTTGCTGATGTTCGTGTGATTTAGCACCTGCAGAGCTTTAGGGTTTGAGAGTAAGAGGGGACTGTGTGGGGGCGGGACAAATAGGTTGCGTTTTTGTGCTTTTTGCGGTTTAGGTTAATGGAATTTGAAATTTTCATGTGGAAACAATGCGGGGTGTTTTTTCTTGAAGAAAGCTGAGCTGGAGGTGGTAATATTATTGCAGGAAATGAGAGCGATCTTGGCCTTTGCGCTTAGAAATTCTTCATAAATCTGATGTGAGAGGCGAATTAGCTAATGCTTCCCAATTTGGTATTCTACTCTGCCCTTTTCTTTTGCTAGGTCCATTGCATTGGTGACTGTGAGTTGTTTCGAAGCTTGATCGCTTTCATTTATGGTAGGATTCTGGCAAATCTGCGTTGATCTGGGTTCTTGAAGAATTTTCCTATCTGCGTGTTGTGGTTGCGCTTGCATTTCTTCAGATAGTTTTCTTCATTGTGGTGCTCCTTGTAATATCGATGCTTTTTAGCTTTCTGAAGCACGAAATCTCTGCTATAATAACATCTGGGGAATGAAGATGGAAGTACTATTGGCTTCATGCAGTAAGGGATGGGTGGACAGGAGTGTGACTTTACATAAACGACGTATCATGTGGCTAATTAAAACTAGGGTTTCTGGTTTTTCCAATGCAGCATTAGCTATCATGAGTGAGATTGATTCTGAATCTCAATAATGCCTGCGAACTACGATTGCTGGTGAAGTTGGAGTTGTAGGGGAACGTACAAAGGAACGTGTGTGCACAAGTCTCTGATACGTCTGTCGATCTACCAGCAGTTGGGTGCGAATTCACATCTGGTTTGTGTTTGGGCATTGGGCCTAGTATGCGTGGAGAAGACAAGGAAATCAATGCCCAGCCAATGTCGCCAGCTGGGAAAAAGAGGCAACTCGTGGAGAGCGGTGGAGGCGCACGAAAGAAGGCTGTGAACAGTCCTAGCCTCGAGAACTCCTGTAGTGTAAGGAGCTTCTTGAAACCAATGGATGGAGGGACAGCGGCAGACACAGTCTTTGAGTTCAAATCTGGAGATGATGCTTCAGCACAACACGTCGAGCTAAACTATGACGAACAGACGGGCACTGTCGCTCTGGATGATAGTGCTGATGAGTCCGATCCCATTTGCCTCAAGCGGAAGAGGTCTTTGAGAGTGACTACTTTGAACCATTTACGCTCCGGAAGAGAGCAATCGATCAGGGCAAACACAAGGGGTTGTAGTAAAAAAAGCAGAGCCGATGCACAGAAGAAGATTAGTGAGCAAAATAGGGAGCCATCAGTTATTCTTGCATGGAAGCACCGGTGCATGTATGAAAATGATGGAGAGGAAATCGATACACTGGTTAATAAACGGGATGAACGTCGGAGGTTGGAAAGACAAAATGATCTTCAACATCAGGATCACAAGCAGGAGGATGCAGGTAATAGCACTTTGAATTTTAGACATTATGTTTTGTGCCTTATCTCTTATTCGTTTCTTCGTCACAATCGATTACCAAATTTAAGCACAAACATAATCACTGTGAACTTTACTCAAATTATCAAAGTCGAGATAAGCTAGAATGATCAAATTTATCCTTCTTTCTTCTTACAGGCTTTCTTTTTTAGTTTCTTTCAAGCTAACAGCTTTTTCATGTGGGTGTTATCAGCTGACAGCACCGAAATTGAGGCCTCAGAAAACGTAATGTCGTCGCGCAATGAAGCTGAAGCTACTTCTGAGCAGGTCACAGAGCTCAGAGATGAGTCTCAAACATTAGGGCTACCTGTAGTGACCGAAAGTAGTGCCTCACACGTGGACAAAAGGAGGTTGTCACCAGGAGACCTCCAATCCCTGACTGGAAGTGAAGATCGGCCTGTGCACGCTGTCAGTGGAGAAGGAGCTGAAGGTAGCAACACACCTGCTGAAATCGACAGCAAGCCTAGGAAGTCGCCTGCTAGACAGAGAACTAGTGATAGCGGCATTGAAATTGCAAGTGGATCTATTCCCACGGTTGCCCATCTTGGTGTGAGCGGCCTGCTTGGTGGCGATGCAGGCATTCAGTCTAGGGCTGGCAGCACCCAGGCTTTTATAATTGGAGACCAACATACAGACCCGTCTTTCTTTTCAGCTCAAGAGCACTCCATGGTCCTTGACGGTATTGCCGAAGGTGTTACAACAAATTCCATTGCTGCAAGAACATCTAATGAATCAATTTCTCAATCGACCCTCAATGATATTTGCACTAAGCCAAAGGCCCATGGAGCAGACAAAAAGAAATACATTCATCAAAGCGGCACATCATATTTTGAGAGGCATGGAGATGACTTGATAGTTGATCTTGATCAGCAAGAAGATGGAACAAATGGCGTGGAACCCGCAGTAGAACAGCTTGGTGTCGGTGATTCAGCAGGATGTGGAGTACCTGACAGTTTTCCAGAGAGCTCTAACCAGCCCTACGGCAGCTACCCAACGGCTCGATGCTGTGGCACGTATGTTGATCCGATGAATATGCTTCTATGATCCGCTTTTGTTCATAAGATACATGTTTCTTTCTGCAGCGTTGTTTTTGACTCGATTGGGGTGGGCTCCTGCAGGAGTGAACAGGATTGGGGCCAGTCAAGTGGATCAGTAGTGCCTGTTGTTGCAACTTACTTGGAGCTTGAAGTGTGCGAGGAGCAGGGTGAAAGCATAGGTGTTCAAAATGAAGTTGCTCATCGAAGAGGGAAGCAGAAAGTGTTCGAGTTGAGCGACGAGGAAGGAGACAGTAATAGAGTGAGTATCGGGCGGCGGGGGATTTCTGGGCAACACAGTTCTTATGGACTTAAAGACCGGGTTAGGTCGTACGGAAATGGAGGTGGTTCCACTATTAGTGGAGCGGAGATCAGCAGTGTTCATGTAGGAACAAGATTTGCAGGTGCAGGACGCCACATTACCTCGCCAGAGTACCCCAGGCTTGTGGATTATGATGACACAGATGGGGGTACTGTGGAAAGCAATGCTCCATTTCAAGCCAGTGCTGGATTAGATGCTGATTTTGAGGAGCAACTTAAAACCTACCGTAGACGCCGAACTCGTAACCAAGGCAAAGCCATTGCGGGAGAAGACAGCGGTGAAGAGGTTCGAGGTCCAACAACCAGGCGAGATGGGGAGTCTAGCGATGTGGACAGTCATGAAGGACAACTGGGTGGAGAAGTACGACGGGAGGGTATTACTTGCTAACCAAGCTCGTTTGCAAGCTTGTATATTTTTGAAACATTCAATCGTCATGCACGTTTTTGGAAGCAAAGTTCTTATTTTCGCATGTGGCTCTGTGATGCAGTTTTCATCCCCATCTACTGCCCAGTTTGCAATGAGGAGCTTGAAGCACACATTTCAAATAACAGAATCAATGATCATATTGACAAGTGTCTCGGCTGGTTTTAGAGTACATATTGCGCTTCCACCTCACTCTTGGTAGCCTTGGCTTCCAGGCTTAAGATAATTAAGACCAAGTCCTTTGTCTTGGGCCAGCGGCATTGACTTGAAGAAGGGGTTTGAACATGGATGCATCTGCGCGTTCAGTTTTTGTCCATGTGTAACTGTACTTAGCCAGATCATTCTCATGTTTCGTAGCTTCTGCAGAGTGCTTTTTGCATTTTGCCAGTTTGTCAGATAGTTGGTGGAAGTTGCTTATCCTGACGGCATATTAGCTCTCTCCCGACATTGTTCCTTTTTCTGTGTACAGTTGATTGAAATGGATTGGCATGCCATGTTTGATATTATGTGCAATGCTGCCATAGAGATTATTTGAACAGGTGATAGGCGGTCTTACATGGGTCTATTTTAGCTGCGGTGGGACGAAAATCATGACTCAGACGTGTGTGAACGCACGCTGTTGCTTATGCAGGTCATTGAAAACCCATCCATAGTGGAAACTCTTTCATGGAACTGTTGCAAAGTTGTGACTTAACATTCTGTCAGTATGCGAAACAACGATGAAAAGCTTTGCTGACAGCAGACACTCCTGGAAATGACAATAAACTAGGATTTCAACACAGTACATCAGTAACTCCGGGAATTCTTAGTACTGTAGCAACAGTGACAACAGTGACAGTAACAATCTTACTTTATCACTGCTGTCGAAACTGAAACAACAAATGCTTTTGAACTCACAATCAAGCATCACACGGTTTCCTTTCACATTGGGATAAGAATTCTTACATGCCATAGCCCATAATCCTCGGTATTGAGATCATTGTTTTGGAGACTAACTTCACTTTTATTGCAAACTTTAATGTTATTGTCTTGAGAGCATTGAAGTTAAGTTCGATTTCCTATGATGTGTGTCCGAGAATTCCCTAGAATAAACCTTTTAATATGTATTCTTCGTTGTTTCTAAAGCCTAATGTTTTAATATGATCACTAGTAATTCCTGTGATAGTACTAAAAATTTATAGTAACCTCAAGGTGTTTTTTCTGTGTATTACATGTGTAAGTTCTGTATAACAAATAAGAATGTGTGAATTTTGGATAAATATTGATAACTCTTGTTTTAATTTAAAAAATACTTTAATTCTAACCAAACTGTCTTTTCCATTAATTTTGTAATTATAACTATTAGAAGATGGAAAACAAAAACAAACTAAAGTTTATGTTTCATTATTGCAAAACATACACGTGTGTATATATGTATGTATGTATGTATGTATATTCATATGTGATGCAAATGGGTTGTTAGTGATAAATTTTAAATATTCGTTTCATGAATAGTATAATGCCTTGAATTTATTTGTCAACAATCTTGATTCAAGTTAATTTTCATTTTTTTAAAATGTGTTACTGCATTTTCACTTGTTTTTATTTTCAGTACTTTTGTTGATGATTCAAAAAAATGGATAATTATTTATTTGATTAATTATTACCTTTAATAATAACTATTGACTTATTAATAATTGAAAAATATTTTATTTTCTATTTTTCGTTTTTATAGTATCATTATTCAATCAATTAATCTTCAAAACATGGTTCAAAACAAATGCTAACACCAATAATCTCTAAATCATTCAAAAATACAATATGTAATTTCTAAATCATTCAGAAATACAACATGTCCACTGGAAAAATAATAATAATAATAATAATAATAATTAGAAATAGTAGTCATGCTGAAGACAATGCTCGTATAATAACAAAAAAAAATCAGACCATACTTCATTGTACGATGTTTCCAAACATCGTACCCTTTCACTATTAATAATATCACTATTATTATTGTTACGATCATCATCATCATCATCAGTACAAATTAATTTATTAGGTTTCAATTGGGGAAGCAGTTTCATGCATTCGAGAACAAGACTGGAGTGAAAGGAAAGGCTTGTGCGCAATCACGTCACAAAGCATGTGATTTTCCGCAGCTCGCACCCAGCAGCAGGGCTTTGCAAGAGAAAAAAGAAAAAAGGCAGTATTCGAAGTGTCGTGGCGGAGAAGACAACAACTGCAAGGAATGAATCCCGAGATAGGGAAAGAAACAACAATTTTGCAGTGGGGTTGCGGACAACAGACTTGCGTGCACAGGAATGGAGGCTGTGATTCAGTGGGGTGCTGTAGCAGGATGAGGTGAGGTGCGGGACCCAGTTGCTCGAGAATCGCGCACTGGATCCACCTCTGCCGTGCACTCACCATGCGGCTTCATCCGGATCACGAGGCCCTGAGTGATGGTTTCCTTCCTACGACTCTCCTTTGTGGACGCTTGTCGCTGTTTTGTTGCAACCGAGCTTGTGGGTACTGTTGGTGTGATCGAGGCAGGGGGCAGGAGTCAGTTGCCGAATCCTACGAGAGCCAACGGTTTTTCGCGACGCATGGATGGCATGAGCATCGGAGTGCGGGGTGCTTGGAATTCGACTGCAACCAATCAAGCTGTACGGATTCAGTTGACGTTACTCTTGCTGCCGAAACGCCGGAGTTTTAAAATAAGAGCAACCCATTTTCTTTGTTGGGGTTTAGGAGCCTCGGAGCAGCTGTAGGAAGGTCTTACGGTTTTGTATCTACATTGGTCCTGTGCTGGGATATCGAATTGAAGACAACCCTAAATCTTTCAGCATTGCGTGGGGGGGATAGTTTTCTCAGGTTGCAGTTGCTTGGACCAAAGAAGTTGCGAGGTTAAGTTATTGCAAGGCGACCTTGCCCTGCCATATTCGTCCCGTCGAGGGATGTGTAATTGGTGACTGACGATCTCACTACCGAACAGCAAATTCTCCCATCGCAGCAATCTCTTTATATGAAGCTTCATTCGATCAGTCAGCGGACATGTGACAGTTCGGTGTACTCTTCGCCCAGGGCCCCATCATTTATGAAAACCTCATTCAGCGGTACAGCCCTGATCTGCTGAAGCAGTTCGTCGTCATCATCATCATTTTATCCGGGTGTGTGAGCTCTTTTCCTTTTGTCTGGATTCGCTGCACTTATTCTTAATACAGTATGGGATGTACTGCACCCCAGTTCAATTCCAGGTGCAGCAAAGTCCAACCACATTGAGCGAGTCCGGAAATAATACTTTTTTTAGAGTAAAACTGATGATATAATGTAATACAATATAATTCTGTAATTCAGAAGTGAATATCAAACTACTGGATGCTTTGTTCACAACAAGTGGAGCTGTGATGGTAATGTCTGATGATTTCGTGTGGCACACTCAAAAGGCTGGCAGCACAAGCAAGGAGAGCTGTGTGAAGAGAATCTTCTTCACCATGGTGTTGAATGTTATGCTTGGCAATCTAACTGGGGTCCTGCACCCTGCTGCTGCTGCTGCTGCTCCTGTTGCTCCTGCTCCTGTTGGATCGTGGTGAAATTCTGCTGTTGTTTTGCTCATGCTCATGCTGCAGCTTGCCTGCCATACCTCTGCACTTGCATTCTGAAGCACAGCAGTAGCAGGGCTGCATATGCTTGCCTCTCTGGTTGATCATGCTAGATCCTGGCCATTCTTGTCCAAATCTTTTCCACTTTTTTGCTCTTTTACAACCTTTACAACTGGGTAATTTATGGGGTTTTGTCAAATACTTTATTGCTGTGTATATGTTGTTTATTTTTAAATGAATACTGCAACAATACTATGTTTTATTTGTAATTAAAGTAATAAAATATTAAAAAATCCATTCTGCATATTTGTATTGAGTTGAAGAACTTTACAATTTAATTGTTTTTCTGTAAATAATGGACACATTCATGCAAGTCATGTTCATGTCTAAAAGAAGGTAAGAAGGACTTCAACGAGATGCCTGATAACAATAAAAAAGAATGATAAAAATCACAGTAAAAAACAACGGAAATATACGTAAGCATACATATCACAGAACAGCTTCTTAAATATAATATGCAAAAAAAAAATTATAACACATTATGTGTGGTTATAACTTCAGACATCAAAGTGGTATGTTTCTTCTAGAAGAATAATAAATAGATGAATAAAGAGAAGATTATAATATTTACTGAATTTTCGTACAACGAGCAAATTCTTGATTGGCATGTTTTCAACAAGTGATGATACAGTTGTTGAGTATTTGATGTTGTATCTCATGAAATATGACTATGAAATGTTTTAAACATATAGAAATAGTAGTGGATTGTCTTCTGAAAAACAGTAGGTATCAGAACCTTTACAACATTTAGAATGGAGGTAGCCTATCAAAAACCTTGTTCGTTCTTGTAAAATGAATTTTCTCTAGTAACACACATATCAAAAATGACCACGAAGTATCTAAAACAATCGTACAATGATATAACTAGTGTTGGAATCTAATTATTGATGACTTTCATATTTATAAACAAAAGAGGTGGCATGATCATATGAGAGAATATTGACTTTGAATAAGTGATAACCACTGTTGTACTATAGATAACCAAAGGTTGATGAAAAAAAAAAAAAAAAAAAAAAAAAACCAGATATTTTTGTTAAAGGTTATTTTATGCAAATGTAGAACAAGGTAGAATTATCTATTCACCTTACATGCAAGTAAATTCTCACATCTAACAGAAAGTAAATCAACTAGTGGTGTCATGCAATCAAATGCTCAAAACGATTCCAATGTTCGTATATTATAATGAAATTTATGATGAAATACTGACTCGGTAGATCTACATTGCGTGTAAAAGCAATGAAACATAAAATAGCTAAAATAACTGAAGCAAACAAAGAAAACGAAAAAAGAAAGGAATTCAAATACAAAAACGGAAGTGAAAAACAGAAACATTTGTGCAGAAGAGTTGACGAAGCAAGAAAGGAAGTGGAGAAGGGACGACAGAAGAGGCCCCGGTGGGAGAACTGGCAAAATGAGGCCCTCCCCCATCCCTCTCACTGCCGTCGTCGCCGATGGGGGGGGCCTCATTTGGGCATACTGGAAGTGAACACAACAACGAACGAACTCAGACTCACAGAGACACACCCAGAGAGACAGACTAAGGGTCAAATTAGGGCATGGTCCAGGGCCGGGCCGGGCCAGGCGAGGCGAGAGACTCATTCACACCCATGGACCCGTCCAGCGGGGCACCCGTCACACACGTCCTAGCTGTCTCGCCTCTGCCAGCCCAATAACCGCACAATCCCCACGCGCTCCCCGGGCCGCTCCCATCGCGCTCCCGCGGAGTTCGCAATGAACATGGAGAGGGAACGGCATGGGGGAAGAGGAGGAGGGTAAGGGGGACGAAGTCAGCTGAGCCCTAAAATCTGTCGTCCGACGGAGGACGCCAACGCCACTTGCTCACGGAACTCGGAGGAAGAGCGCGACAGAGCAGCTCCCCTGCCTGGCTCCTCTTCCTCGTCTCTGTTGTTACCTCTCTCTCCCTCCCCTGTTTCTGACCTCTTCATCGTGCTCGTCGGGGCTCCACCTCGCCCGCCCGTCCGTCCGCCCGCCCGCCCGTCCTACTCTTCTCCCTTCCTACCTCGGCAGTCAGTCGTCGGGACAGCTGTGCTCGATCCCCGCTTCCTCACTTCCCCTGCTGCTGCCGATTTACTTGCTGCTGCTTCGTTTCTTCTTCTTCTAGCGTTGCCTGTGCTTTATTTCGTCGCGCCATCTGCATTGAGCGCGTGAGAGCGTGAGAGGCGGGCATCTTCTTCCAGGCATGTTGCGTTGCGTTGCCTTTTTTTTTTTTTTTTTTTTTTTTGATTCTCTCTGTTGTAGTTGGGATTTTCCCGTGGTTATGCTGGTCTGTTTCAGTTTGGTGTTTGTAGAGGGTGAATCTAGAGCAGTGGTCATGTTGAGACTGCTTCGTTACTGGTTTCTATTGGCTGGGATGTGATGTATTTGCTTAAAGGTGCTCGGGTCCTTGGTTTTCAATTCTAGTGCTCTTTTCTGTATTACGGTAGGAGATTCTCTTGGTGACTTTTCCAGCTGATAGCTTCAAGTGGGAGTTGATGAGGAGGGAGAGAGTAATGCTGGTCTTTAAATCATCATCTGTGAGGGCATTTGGAGTGGGCGTCTTAGAATGCAGAGATTTGATGATTTCCATCCGGACGAAGTGTGTATTTGGCGTCTGTACGGTACTGGAGTGGTTTCCTTGCAGACAACTGCTCGTGTAGTGTAATGACGCAGTTTTTTCTTTTCTTCCCTTCTCTCTCCCCCCCCCCATCTTTCCCACATGCAATCCAGAAGTAATGATATCTGTGGCGTGATTGACGCTGCAGGATACAGGTTAGTGAACCGCACGAGAATAAGCGTCCTTTTTTTAGTCTGCACATGGACATGGCTGATAGAAAGCATGGGAGCTGGAATTTGATCACAAGCTGTGAAGTGCATAGGTCATGTGGGAGACCTATGGCCGAAGTTGAGAGGAGCGTGTCTGTATTTTTTGGATGTCGTGTAGAGGACGCTTCGGTGACACTTAGCTCAAGTGGTTGGGAGGAGATGGTGTGTGAGAGTTAGAGAGAGAGAGAGAGAGAGAGAGAGAGAGAGCGAGAAAGAGATATCTTTACAGAGTCTGATGGTGATCGCTTTTCGATCTATTCAGTCTGCTCACATGTAAAATGGAATCGTGGACTTTGTTGTAAAGGTTGGAGTGACCGGAAGTTCTATTTGTCTTCTGGATTTCATGTTTTATTTTTCACTTCGAGTAGGATAGATGCATCTTTCATTTGTGTACCATGTTTGACTAGCGTCAGATCTTTGCTGCTTCATACGTTGGATACTAAAACGGTAAGCAGTATCTATTGCCATCGCCTCTTTCCTGGTTTTGTGATTCTTGGAACAAGTGTCGAAGTTGTGCACATGAAAGTTTCGACTCTTTTATTTAAAAAAGTATTATCCCGACTTTCGGATTTTATCTGAATTTTTAGGGTCGTGTATTTGGTTGTTCTGTCGAAGTCATGCCATTTGTTCTTTTTTTATTTATTGTCGTTGTGTGATTTGCAGGCATGGAGGGTGTTGTGGAAAATGGAGTGAGTCGGACAGTGGATTCTGTCAAGCTTTTCGTGGGGCAGCTGCCTAAGCAGATGTCTGAGCAGCAGTTAGTGGAGGTCTTTTCAGAAGCAGGAACTGTTCATGAGATTAACATTATCAAGGACAAGCTTACTAAGCAGTCCCGAGGTACCTGCTCTGCCCAAGAGTCCCGATTTGTGTCCCTAGTTTCATTCTACCATGTTCTTCTGTAGCTGCTGTTTCTTAATGCTTAATAGCCCGATTTCTTCTTTTTTAAACCATGCCCAGTCGTTGAATATTCCGTTGACATATAGAAAGTGGAATTGTACTCGTCACTCATTTACGTTCTTTTGAGGAATACGTGTCCAGTACATTCCAGTTCTTTAAGATCTATCTAGAGGGTGCAGCTAGATATACACCTCCGTCGGAGCTCACACATTCTAGCACTTTTGACCGTGCGATAGTCTCTGAAAGAGTGGTGGTTAATTGGATTAATGTCTTGCTAAACCTGACATACCTTAACTTATAAAATGCTGGTCTTTTTTTCTTCTAAAATTTTCAGATTTTTTATTAATTAATTTATTTTTATATAATTTAAAAAACCTATATTGAAATATCCGCTTCAGTTTGTGTCTACCTTCTGGTTCAACTTGTTTTTATTCAGTTCCTATTTCTGACAGTCACCTCTTTGAGGATTATGAAATGGACTTATTCATGACTCTATGTGCTGCTATTATAGGCTGCTGTTTCCTCACGTACACCACCAGGCAGGAGGCTGATAAAGCTATTGAGATCTTCCACAATAAACGCACTCTTCAGCCAGTTACGCGCTTCTCCAGTTCTCTGGTCGTCGTTGTTTGTAGATTATGTACAAAGTTTAGTTGAGTATGTTTGGTGACCTATCTCTGACACACGTGGCAGGTGTTACACTTCCAGCCAATAACCATATGTTCTCTAAGATTCTGTTTTGTAGGTTTCCCTGATGCAGTCACCTGCATCCGTGGATGGGCAGCCGCTCAGAACGTCTTGCTTAGGTTTAATATTATTATGGGATATCTTAAAGTCTTGAGAGGTGGAAAGTCCATGCATGTTTAATGTTTGCAGCTTACCTTCCATATATTCACCAATTGGAGACCCGTAAAATTCTGATTTACTGATACATTTCTGGAATGATAGGTAGCCAGTCCCTTGCAAGTGAAGTATGCTGATGGCGAGATGGAACGATTAGGTGTGCGACGCTTCTTCAATTTATATCTTTTATTGTAGAGGTCTAGGACACTTTGTGATTGTGGGTCGTCTGGGTTGTATGTGAGAAATTATTGATATTTCTCTGTTCAGTATTTTCGTATCTCTTATCTGTCTGTGGATCAGGTTGCTAGATTTGCAAGTCGAGTCAACTTTGATGTTAAGTTTTCTTGCGGGGTACTTGGGCAGAGGAAAGACACACACCCACACCCACACACACACTGACATCTACATATACGTAATTTTCCGATTAGACTGAATTGAGTGTTTCCTTTTCTTTTGTCATGAGTTACTTTTTACAGAACACAAGCTTTTTATTGGGATGCTTCCTAAAGGAGCATCTAAAGCAGATGTGATGGCAGTGTTTTCGCCATATGGATCCATCAAAGAACTATCTGTCATCAAAGGCTCCCAGCCAACCAGCAAAGGTGAACTTCACCTCTTCTGTCTGCCCCATGAATTTATCGTTTTTCGACTTATCCTAGTTAAGCTGTCCGTGAATGAGATTCCTATGCCAGAGTCGCATTGCATGTCATCAAGATAGGTGTGTTGCTATTCTGTGGGATCTTGTCTTATTTTTTATATGGTAATGACATTTTAAAGGTACACTCAACTGGATAAATCATATTTAATTACGAGTTTTAATAATTTAATGTTTAACGACGTCGTTATGTTCAGCTTGATTGACTGGGTAGGAGTGTAAGATACATGCTATTAAAGTTGGTCGGATTTGCAAGTGTAACTATACTTCTTAGTATGTATTGGTTAGAATCTATTTTTTTGCATCAATCAGCAGCGAGCTTTATAACCAAACTTGTTTTTTGCAGGATGCGCTTTTTTAAAATATGAAACTAAGGAACAAGCTATTGCTGCTATTGAAGCTCTTAATGGAGTCCACAGAATGGAGGTATATGCTTTCTCTATCTTTGATTCTAAGGATAGAGTACGTCTGTTTTACGGCTTTCAACATTCATTGTTGTTCTTGGTTAGTCTTCTAGGTAGGAAGTACTGCGTTCTAAAGGGTTGTGAAATGCGTTCTTGGAACAAATAAGTGCCGCAGTGGTTCATACTGAGCACTGACGACTTATGTTTTGTAGGGCTCACCATCTGCGTTGGTGGTTAAGTGGGCCGACACTGAGAAAGAAAGGCAGGCGCGTAAAGTGCAGAAGGCTCAATCAGTTTCTTCCCCTCCTATACCCGGTCAGCAACCATCTATTTTTGGTGCTGTACCAATGGGCTATGTAACGGCTCCTCCCCCTTACAATGGTTACCCTTACCAGGTGATAATTTAATCTTGTCCTATCAGATTTTAATTAATGCAAATTTTGGGTTCCTTCTTTAAGTTTATTTACGTAATGAGAGGATCAGTATTCATCTTAACTCTCGAAGGTTACATCTTTAACCACTGGTATAGCATCTCGATCCTAGTTTCCTTTTCTGTTTGGTTGAATGCTATATGTATTTTTCATGTTTGATCACTGATATAAAAGCCTTTGGTGCAGCCAATTAGCAACTATGCTATCGCATACCCGCAACAGCCTGGAATGGTCGGCTTACCAACTGCTATTCCAGGTTCTCAATCAGACCTTACAGCATATGCTCCTATGCAACCGGCAACATATCCTTTTGCTGGACAGCAATACCCAGTTCCTTATCAAGGCCAAATTATAGGACATCAAGGCCAGTCGTATCCCTCTCCTCTGCCTCCCTCTCTTATTGGGATGAATACCGCGCAAGTAGCTGCTGCCGCTGTTAGGACTAGTGTGGGCCCCCAGACCGAAGGTATGATATCTTTGCTTAAACAGAATTTTTTACAGTTTTACCAAAGGCAATTAACTCTTATTCAAACTCCGTATTTAAACATGAAAGATTTAATGTTCTGGCTGGAAGTTCTTATGCTATGCAAATTTTATTACACCGTGCAACAAAGTACCGTTGTAAATTTATGACCGTGTATAGTTACACTGCTATATAATTTTCTGATATATGAGGCAAGAATGCGTCCTTTCTAGATTGTCTTCAGATCAGATCGTTCATTTTGTTCAATTCCCTACATCCGTACAAGCTGTGTGCGTGCTCTATCTTGCAGGTCCAGCGGGCGCTAATTTATTTATTTATCACATACCACCCGAATTTGGTGATCAGGAGCTATCTACCGCCTTTTCATCTTTTGGAAATGTCATTAGTGCCAAAGTTTTTGTAGACAAGACAACTGGAGCCAGCAAATGCTTTGGTATGTTCTGTGCAATTTTCTTTTTTCTTTTTTTCTCGACACTATATGCAATGTTAATCCTTCAGAATGACGCTTGGTTCTAAATTTTTTGTCTTTCTTTCTTTTGATGTTCATAAATTATTCTGCTTGCCTTTCTTCTGTCAGCGTGCTCGTTTCTTTCGTTTGATAATTCGAACTCAAAAAAGTCTACTTTTGAATATTGATCAATTGTTTTAACTTAAGAGAGAATAAGTATCTATGTTTCGTTTTTAGAAGTGCAGTTGGTTTATGATTAAGAATCTTTTAATGCAATTATTTGAATTCTTACGTTCCTTGTGTTGAACTGTTGGGTATTGGTGGGTGGTTCAGGATTTGTTAGTTACGACACTCCTGAAGCAGCTCAGGCCGCTATAAATGTAATGAATGGATTCCAGCTGAGTGGGAAAAGGTTGAAGGTTCAGCTCAAGCGCGATACCAAACAAAGAAAACCGTACTGAAAAATACTGAGAAACAGGGGCTGTCTGCCACAATGAGTAGGGATGCACATTAGACAGTGCATGCGGGGAAATAGTTGGGCTGGGACTCTAATTGAACCGCTGAGCGGGCGCCAACACCAATCATATTTGCAGGTGGGGTAAAGTGCTTTTTCCAAGTCAAGCAAGCTTGTTTGCTTTATTGTACTCTGCGGTGCAAGCTAGTGCCCCCCCCCCCCCCTTTTGGTGAAATGTACCATTTATTGCCAATTTAGGAAGTTCATGTTGAGTATCCGTTCTGCAGTTTCTATTCTGTGTAAAGGTTGAAGTAATTATTCTCTGGAAGAAGCGTGCTCGGGGTATGTGCAAGTTCCTGTTCGTCTAGGCTCGAGTGTGGACTTCGTGCTACCCTGCTCGTCAATTGTGTTCCTAGATAGCCATCTGCTATATATGTATTATTCTCCTAGCTTCTATTGTCTTCTTGTATATTTGGGATGTAGCTGCATCCTTTTTGTTCTTTTTAAGCTGACATACTGACAGGCTTCGATGTCTTTAAAGAGACAGGAATATACGTAGGCTAACTACATTTTTTTCTTCTAGATTCAGTAGTAGTCGTAATGTTTTCCTTCATTGTATGATTAACTTTACTTGTTGGTTGTTCATGGTATTTTATGTGTAATCGTGTATTTATCTATGGGAAGTTCCCGGTTTTTTTTTAATCTCAGCAGTATCCCTAGCATTCACTGCAATCAGGCACGGATGTGTTCTGCCTTTCTGCCGTGTCTTCATTTTGTTCCTTATCATGTTTTGTGTTTCTGTCTTTCAGTTGTTTCCTGATCGCACAGATGCACTAGATACACTGTTGTGCCAGGGTGCTTGGACGTGTGTAGCCTTCTAGCCTTTGGGAATGGGCAGTGGTCCATGATATGTGTGGTTTTCCCTGCAAAAGTGTAACAGGGTTTGTTCAGCTGTAATGATGATGTCCACGTATCGTTCCTTTTGTCCCTCTGTTGGGGAGACCCGTTTTTGGTGGCCGTTTCGGATGTGTCAGGTACTGAGTGCTACGTACCTGCAGTGGGGTCTGAGGGTTATCTACCATTATGTTCGTTTTGTGCATTTTACAAATTTTGTTGTATTTTGTATATTTGGGCATGGGGTGGTGTTTTATCTTTTTTTGGTACCTTTGACTCCCCTGTAGTTTCTTCGGAAGTAAAATGTTGATCAAAACACTCCAGCTAACGACACCAGTGTTTAGGACCTTAAGGTACAGGGGTTAGTTTATATTTTTCATACTTAAGGCCCATGATTTTTACGAGACAATGTCTTGTCTATGCTGTAGGACGACGTTTGTCTTAAGTCCTCTCAGCCTTGACTGTCCTCGAGGGTCTCTTCTGGAGGTAAAATCTGGGGCCTGCAGAAATAATCAAATCGTTTCCAATCTTTTTGTCATCAGGTATGTTAACTTATCGTTTATTCCATTATCGGGTCTTAGGTGATTCAAAGTCGGGAGTCGCTTTTCGGTGCTTTAAGTCAATCTATTATTTGTTCATTGAACAACTCGGTTGTACAAGGAGACCAGTGAAAAGCATGTTTCATATTCTCACTAGTGTGCGCAAAAAAGGTTCATTCTGATTGTTGGTTTGATCCTTTGTTTGTGTCGTCATTTGCTTTCTGCAGAGGTGCAGAACATTATGTGTCTAATAAAATCTCACGTGTGTCATCCTTCACTTATCTCAGATGTTGGCATCCTTGATGTATGCTGCAACAGGACGCATACGCTGTCACACATCCTCTGCACGTGGACCTTGGTGTGAGGGAAGGTAGCTCTGCTGCTGCTGCTGCTGCCGCTCATTTTACTGGGTAGCTAGCTCTATTTTCAGAACTTGTTTTTAATACATTCTGCTTTTGATGTTGAAGTTTTTCTCTGCAAATTCTTTCCTTAGAGTATTGTGCATGCATTGAAAGTGTTCTCATTTCTACGCAACCACAGAAATCAACGAACTTTTCATCGAGGTTATTGAAGCATAATGTCGGGTGTCAGCAAGAGGTGAAGGTGGGTTCTTTCTTTTACCCCAGTATTGGTTTGATATGAAATTAGATCTTTGTTTGACGAGAGAATACATGAGAATTACCTATTGTCCATAAGAAGGGTTAGTTGGTGCTTTTCTATTCCTCAACTTTTCTACCCTGTCCTGCATTTCATTGGAGTTGAACATCTTGAGGGCTTTGTTAATTACTGGGGGTGATTACAGTCTTGATAATTACAGTCTTTCTTTTACTTATTTTAATCATCCTCGTTCAAATCTGATTTCTGGATTAGGCACTGTTTCCTCATGTTTGATTGTTTGCAAGTAGAGTCCCTGCTTTGGTTGTAGTCACATTCATTACATTTCCCTGCCTTATCGGGAAACCAGAAAGATTCCTTAAGGTTATGTTTAAGCTTGGTATGTGTTATCTAATATATTTACGTAAGAAAAATCTGATACTGGTTAGCCGCACAATGCAGTGCAATTTGTTTTTCCTTCGGATCCTTTTTCAATATATAGATCTTCAAAGCCCTTTCCAGACTATGTTCTGGTTGCATGACAGCGTGTGTTACATCACCTGTCGAACTGACAACTCGTGTCCCCAAAAGTAAAAGGTCAATCGTATTGACCTGCTTTGCTTTGGACCAATGGTTTCCAGTTGACAGAGATCATACTTCAATTCCTACCGGCCATTAGTGTCGCAACCGTCTGAACAATATAATATAGCGTTCGAGTACATCATGATAAACATGATTGAAATTCACTGACACCAAGCTCCCAACTGAATCTACATTGATGTGTTGCAACAGAGTCACCTTCCTTCAAAATCTTCAAATCATTCAGACTCACTCTTCTACCATTTAAATTGAATTTCATATGCATATGATACAAATTTCAGCTTTATCAGTGATGCTTTTGCATTCTCAATTTGCTTCTCACCATTGGCAATTCCTTGTTTCACATTGTCCTCACTCTCTTGCTCCCTCATTTTTGCCTTAATTTTTTTACCGTGAATCCAAAATACCACATTGAAAACTGTCAATCACATGCTGTTGAGCCCTAAGAAAGACTATCAAATCGACAAAATTGTGACCTGAGGGTTCTTAGCTTGTAACAACCTTGCATATGCAAGGTTGGCCCAATAATGGTGCAAGTACATGTCTGCAGTGTTATACGATTACAAGGTACTGCTGCGTATACATTCTTCTGGTTCATGGTCGTCGATTGCAATCCTACAGAATGAATGTGACAGCAATTTTGTTCTGTTTTTTTCCTTGTAAATTGACTCTTATTATTGTTTCTATTTATACAGTTTTTATTTCACCCTTTGTCGTTCTGGAAGATATACATGCTCTTTGACTCGCGATGCTTTTGTTTTGCTTGCGTTGTCTAGGTGAGGGATCAGCAAAGAAGTGAACAAGGGCCCTGAAACATAGATCACATGAGTGAGTGCGACCAGTGATGTCATGCATGTGTTGCCTAGGAATTCCACTCCATTATGAAGTTTGCCAACCTAGCAATGTCCTCCTCAACAGCCAATGTCAAATTGCTTGCTGGCTGGACCTTACAGTACCTTTGGAGGGCATGGTGCACGCAACAACAATAGACAGGAAGGGTAGTTTTTATTTCTTCCTCGTAATGAGAGAAAAATAAACTCCTCTGAATCCAACGTTTTCTAGGCAACTCGAATCCCTATTGGGATGAGGAAGCAGTTCCAACTGCTGAGAGTTTTCTGAGTGGGGGCACTAAACAGAAAACGTTCATCTTCTCACACCGTTGAGAATGACCATGCAAGTACTTGCCAGGAATAATCACTTCAGTATGTACAATGTGAATACCTTATAGTATTTAGTATTGGGCTCTAAAATTCACGTCATTGTGGTGCAATGAATTGGGGGATGCTGGTCTCATTTGTTTTAAGTGGGCTCATGAGACTCATGAGTATTATCCGAAGTCTAAAACGTTCAAATAACTGGATTCATTTGGAGGCTGCTTATCTGAAAGATTACATTCAGAATAACTATAACAAGTAAATTAGGATTTTGTAGAAAAGGGAGTTGAGGGGGAATGGATATGGTCACAGGCACGGAGAAATGGTGCGGCCTGGTTACCCTTAGACCCCACCAGGTAAACCACGAGTCGAATCTCAACCTGGCAATTATGGCATCTGGCAAAAGCTCAGGTATCTATCCACCTTTTGCTCAATACCCAGTTTCTTAGTCCTGTAGCTACACCACACAAACTGCAAATTCACATTCTTCGTGGTCGCATGGAATTGAGTATGAGAGAGAGAGAGAGTCTGGTGGGAGCAACTCATTTTTTATGTTCCATTTTTTTATTGAACATTGTAAACGTTTTATGTCCCGCAAACTTGTGAGTGTAGATTAGCAGTCTTTCCACCCAATGTGATTCAGTCGAAGACTTAAATCAGAATCTAAGAAAATCAACAAAAAGGGGGAGGGTGGGGGGTGGGACTCAAGGCATCGGCAGGACTGAGTCAACTCCGCTTTGGGGTGGGGGGTGCAGAGAGCATGGGAAGAAGAGATGGGCACGGTTGAAGGGGGTGGTGAGTGAGTGAGTGAGATGGAGAGTGTGTGTGTGCTCAGCCTTGACTCTGCCATCTGGTCCGCGCTCCTCTCGATCTCTCGTTTCCTCTTTCCTCTTTCCTTTTCCCACCCTGGGTGGCCTCGTAAGCCTGCCTTCTGCGGTTGCTGTGGCAGCGTCATGCAAGGAGACCCCACCTGATCGACAGAGCATCCTCGCCACACATCCTCCACCACGATGGAGAGATGAGAGATGGGAGATGAGAGGGAAGGGGGCCTCGGGGAATGGACCGATCGCTGCAGAGCAACGAAGACGATAGATGAAGAAGAGCGAGCATGGACTCGAGGGACGGAGGGAGACTGAGACTGATACTGAAACTACTTTGCTCCTCCTCCTCCTCCACTGGGTGGGTGGGACCCCGGCGTTCCTTCTGTCACGCACTGTATTGCAGTAGCATCACCAGCACCATCTTCGCTCGGCTGCTTTGAGCCTTCCCTCGTCCTCCCTCCCTCCCTTCACTGGAGCTCATAACTTGTCCCCGGCCCCACCCACTCACTCACTCACTCACTCACACCCCCACATACTACCAGCAGCAGCAGCAATAGCAAATCGCTCGGAAGTGTGTGCCCTGAGCTGTGCGCATTCAATGCAACCATTGCAGGCCGCTTGTGCTGGTGAATCTGGAAGCCTCTGTTCTGCTTGTCTGGAATGCTGCAGAAGTTTTTCTCCTTCTTCTTCTTTTCTTCTGCTTCTGCATCTTCTTCAGACAAAGCACCACAACAGCAACAACATCATCATCCAACTCTACTCTACTCTCCTAGTTTCCTTCTGGACCCACATCACATGCTGCACACACTTACACACAGGCACACTTCACTCCACCATTACTAAGACTTCTCCTCGTGGCTCTTTATTACAAATTGCTTCACCATGTTGTGTTGTGTTACCTTGTGGGCTATTTTCCTATGCTGTGGATAAGCTACTTGACATTGCCTGATCCTACTGAAATGCGAGATGTTGTGTAATTGAATTGAAATGCTTGTCATTTCCCAATACTGTTGGAAAATTTTGATTATATGTTACTGTGATTGTGTTGCATAAGGTGAATCTTTGTGGCATGTGTTGTAACTTTTGTACATGAAAATTGTGATTTTGGAATATGTGATTATGAATATGGATGTTGTTTGTCTGCAACATACACACAAATTAGAATAACAAAAGAAATTAGGAAAAGGTACCCACACTGAAGGGTTTAAACAACTCAAGTTTTTAGTTCCAAGTGAGTTGTTAACACACCCTAAAGGTGGTCCTTTTTATAATTCACACTTACATTTATTTACAAAACTCTTTCACCTAAACAATTCCTTGATTAATAGCTCTAACCTAATTTTTGATCTTTTGTAGAGACATTGTGCTTTCCACCAGTAGAAGCTACAGAAATGTGTTATTGAAATCTGTACTATTTACTTCAAATTCTTTCAAAAACACATGTTATTTTTTTTTCTCTATATTTTTTAATGTAATGTTTTGCTACAATATTATTTTTAGAACATCAATTGAAAACAAACTTTACAAACTAATAATTATTTCTGAAACTTAATAATGATGTGACAATCATATATATATATATATATATATATATATACTTTATTATTTCTTTAAAATTAATGTAACTCATTAACTAGAGATGCATCATATGATTTTTAATATATATATTAAAAGGGGGCCCTAGAAGCATCAAGTTAAAGAAGATGCCAGAGTGATAACAATCAAATTTTGCAATTAATTATAATTTTACAAGTAAAGTCAACATAGCCATTAAAATTTAAAATTTCAAAAAATATGCCAACTCTTTTAGATAAATTTTCTTAAAAAAGAAATCGACCACAATATTATTTAACTTGGAATTTCTTATAACTTTTGTAAAGTAAATTAAAGCTTTAAAGAAAAAACACTAAAAATGTTTTGAAAAGAGATGAATACATATGACCTTACATTATTGAAAATCCTGGGAGTAAAACCTATCTCATATTAACTCATATTTTAAACATCAACTTTAAGTAGCAAGCTTTGAAATTGTTGTGTAGTTCATCTAAACATTGAACTCTAAACATAACAATAAAATTTCTTTTTATCAAAAATCATTTATTAAGATCAGAACGTCGGTAGGAAATCATATGATATGTTTGTGTTGAAAACGTCTATTTTGTTATTTTCTTGTTACATTACATCATTTTTTTTTTTTCCAAATGTAAATGAAAATTTCCTTCAAAATACTCTAGATTTTGGAATTGATTATCTTGGGTTTATCCTTTCAGAAAATATTAAAATGATAATATTAAAAAATCTTATTTTCAACATAGTATTTTGATCCAAATATTGAAGCCATTTGTTTTCTTTTATAAGTGGAAAAAATTGTGTGTTGCAAAATCACATTCAAACAATAGTCCAAATAACTGAGATATGTTTATTGCACTTTTTATGAATTTAAAGATAAAAAAATGCTAGAAAAATAAGAAATAATTTCATATATTCAAAAATTTTAAACCAGCCATTTAAAATTTTCCTTTCTAGATTGAGTTATTCCAATTGATTATATATATATATATATATATATACATATATATTCGTATTTTGATTAAAAACTATCTCAAACTTCCTCCATGCACAGCATATATTTTTTTCATCAAACTATTTTACCAAAATTCGATAATTTTTTTATTATTTGGATTATTTTTCAATGTACTACAACTACCTAGACAGAATTGGGAACACACGAAAATAAATTAACTTTCTGCCTAGTTTTCAAAAATGAAAGGATCATGTTGTAATCTATTTTTCTAAGATTCTTGAAGATATCAATTCTTTGCAAGTTAACCAAAGACTTTAAAAGTAAAGGTCAAATACTGGTTGTAGACAACAAATGCTCACATCCTGATAAGAAAAGATTTAATATATATATATATATATATATATATAGAAAAAATACATATTAATTTAAATGATACTAATGAAAGTTTTGAGTTAAAAAAAAAAAAAAAAAAAAAAAAAAAAAGAAAGAAAAAAAAAGGGATCATTTCTTGGTAGATTTATATTTTAAGGAGAGAAAAAATCAAAGATTAATATATTCTCATTACAAAGCCACCTTAAGAGCCCCTACGTCAAAAAAAAAAAGGGTTTTTAAATTGATACATCTTACCAAAGAATACTACCATAAAAATCA